GAAGGGGGAGACGTCTAATAGACCGATCTCACTAAGCGTTCGGCGTATGCGTGAAGCCGCCAATACTTTAGTTCACAGGAGCTAAAGTTAGGAGCTACGTTAGGTTAGGGCAACTTGGTCTGTTTCAACGGGCGAGGAGTCTCCCAACTGTAGACGAGAAATTTATCCAGTGCAGTACAACCGCTAGCCTGGGGTCTTTAACGTGCATCACGCAGTAGTGACACACAACCACACGCCGGTGCGATGCTAGCAAGATCGAAACGGGCAGGGTTGGGGATTGAGCCCAGGATCCCTTGATTCTGCAGCGCGATCTTTCGCTCCACGTGCTCCGAGCTAGTGTGCGCTAGCCCGATCGGCCACCGATCCCTTCGCGCTTGATAACATGCTTCAAAATCACAGCGCGAGCTCCCTGTAGCAGTATCGCCCAAAGTGGCACGCTACGCTAAAACTCCCTAATATGCATACTGAGCGGAATATTGGAAGACTTGACGTAAGAGATCAGATTAATCTTATGCGATATTACCGAGCGATGTACTTTAATCCGTAGGAGGGAAACGCGGGTTTGCAGAGCTTGGTGACCATCTTAGTACTCACTGCTTATGTGAGGAAGGCCGTTTTACATGGGGTGGATTTGTTTGACGTGGTGTGTTCGATCTTGAAGTAGACAATTTTGATGTTGGTTTGACGCCGCAGACGAGATTTTCTATCCCATGTTACTTTTCTTTAGCTGTGTCACGCTCATGCGGCGTAGGCGTTTTAATTGTTCGTACTTGATTCCTTAGAGGCGCATTTTCTCTTTGTGATCCTGATGGCCGCGTCCTTGATACTCCTTTTTTGTAGGTCATGCTAAGTTTCGGGTAGGTAGTGTTTATGCGCCTGCGCGTGCTTCCGCGTCTAACAGTTTTTTTAGTAGTCTTTTTCAATATGTTCCCGACGACGGTTTCTTTTTGCTTTGCGGGGACTTCAATTGTATAGAAGATTCTGTTCGAAATGTTCGCGGCTCTGGACGCGGACGCCCCACTTCGAATGCCCGTGAGCTTGTACGAATACTTACGCTCTACAATTTGCGAGATGGCTGGCTCGGGTCGAATGGAACGACGTACACGTCCATGTGGTCGCGAGGCTCCTCGTCGAGCCGTCTAGATCGGGTATATGTTCCTTCTTGCCTAGCTACTCATATTAAAACCTACACGGTGCTTTCTTTTTCAATAGCCGCTGGCTACATTTCGGACCATTGCCCAGTGTCCATTGTTTTCGACGTCTGCAGCTTTTTGCGACCGCGAGGCGACACATGGCGATTGGACGTCTCCCTTCTGCGAGATGACTTAGCCCTTTCAAGCCTGCGACGATCTATAGGAGTGTCACTGACGGTCGTTCCCCTGTTTTACACTCGGTGAGATAGGATCAAGGCTGACTGCCGTTTCCTTGCAACAGCTGCGGGGGAAATGCTTCGACGCAGGATGACCGACGCTCTCAACGAGGTTGTCAACTGCATCCGCGCAGTGCAGCGTGGAGGCGCGCGCACGCACCTGATGTCAGAATACCTGGCGGTCCTCCGTGATCGAACCAGCTCCTTTTACGCTTGTCCTCCCGAACGGTTGTTGAGCAGCGACTGCAAGACCGGCCTGTGGATGACCCAGAGGTTCTTCGGTGCCTCCGCGCCGTTCGAACGGTGAAGGCGGACCGCCTTTTATTCATAATGTCCAGCTCGCGTACAGGAGCTTTTCCGACGACCCACACGACATAGACAGGGTTTTCGGGGATTTCTTTTCACAACTTTTTTGTTCGGATCACCTTGCATCCGAAAATTTTGCTAAGAAAGTTCGCCAGTTTTGTGGCGACGTTCCATGCTTTCCCCGAGTTCTTGGCCTCGTCTCTCGTGCGTCCCACCGACCGCGATGAACTTTTCGAGATCCTTCGTGCTACGAAGACTGGGTCTGTCCCAGGGCCAGACGGCTTCCCAGCCGAATTTTACGTTTCTTTTTGGGAAATATTCGGGGCCCCTCTTGTCCAGCTGGTCAACGGGATTCTGGAAACCGGTGCCGTTCCGCCATCATTCTAACGTGGTCGCGTGGTGCTCGTCCCTAAAGAAGGTGGCTTACCGTCGGACCCCTCGGCGAGGCGGCCCATAACGCTTTTGAACATAGACTACAAGTTGGTGACGTCGCTGCTGGTCTCCCGTCTGCGCCACATTTTGCCCCATGTTGTAAACCCAACACAGACGTATTCCGTACCCGGCAGGAGCATCTTCTCGTCCCTGTCCCTCACGCGCAATCTTTTTTTGTACGCCAATTTTACACACCTGTCAGGGTGCTTCGTCTTCCTCGATCAGGCCAAGGCCTTCGATCGAGTCGAGCACTGTTTTTTGTTTGAAGTTTTGAGAGTTTTTGAGTTTCCTGACACCTTTATAGCCTTGCTCCGATCCCTGTATAGTGGGCTGACAAGACATCTCCAAGTAAATGGGCGAATCCTTGCTCCCTTTTCCGTGACAAGGGGAGTGCAGCAGAGTTGCCCCCTGTCCAGTTTGCACTGGTTGCATTCGGAGCAACCGAAAATGAAAGCAAAGACAGAGACACCGACACAGCAGCGGCTCATGGCGTTCCTCGCCACTATAAGAGTAAAATAATTGGGGTTGTGTGGATATTTATACAGCGTGTAGTCAGTCAGCCATTTCAAAGTTGCGACGAATCTCCCAGCTGTAGATGAGAAATTTAGCCAGTGCAGTACAACCGCTAGGCTGGGGTCTTTAACGTGCACCACGCAGTAGTGATACACGACCGCACGCCGGTACGATGCTCATCCAGATCGAAACGGGCAGGGGTGGGGATTGAGCCCAGGATCCCCGGGTTCTGCAGCGCGAGGTTTCGCTCCACGTGCTCCGAGCTGGTGTGCACTAGACCACTCGACCACCGATCCCCTTCGTTCTTCAGAGAACAGCCACAGACGTGAGGTTCATTTACGAGAAGAGAAGAAACAGAAAAGCACCTAATTGTCTTGGTTTATGAGATAATTTTATTCTTCCTATCCGCTGCCCGCACGGAACATCGTATCGCGACAGTTGCCTCCATCCTTCCACCCCTGGGGCGCTTTGGATGCGCTCCAAGGAGCGAGGGCGCGGACAGCGATTAGGGAGGAACCTTATACGCGCGCTATCGGAGTTCCGGCGTCTCCCAAAACGCTTACCGATGTCTTGCCACAGTTTCCCGACCTCGTACGGTCCACTCATGTCATATACGTCGCTGCTTCGTTGACGCGTTGGTGTCACACCGTTGCTGGCCAGTCGTTCGACAAAGGTGGGTCGCGCTCTGCTTGTTCTGACGCGGAAGGAACCGTGTTTTTGAAGTTACGCGCGACTTGAAGAGAAACGAAAGAGGTGTCAATTTATTTCCGAGACACGCCTACGGGGGTTACCGGTAAGTATTATAGCATTTAAAAACGATCCAATGGGAATCTGATGCCCCAAACAAGACACCTCCGATGAAGCACAAGTGACACAAACGATACGGAGTCACACAATCAAGATCGACGCAGGCAACAAAAGCTTTGTTGCACCACCTTGTGCGTGCAACTTTCAAGTGATATGACAAAACAGGAATCCATATAGTGAAGTGTCGAGACCGTTTACTTCCCTCGTTCATTTGATTTTTAAGGCGTCCTTCTTGCCCGATTCACGCAATCTGCGTTATATTGAAATGTTGTATAGACTTATTGAATGAGCACTCTCAAGCACGATGAAATGGCCATAGACAACAATGTTTCGTCGTTCACGTAACAAGACTGTTACAGTATATTTTGTCTTGGAACAGCTCACTGCAATTCGCAATGATCGGTCGCGAAGCGTGAGAAACTCGTTAGCACGTCGGACCCCATTAAGAGTTAATTGAACCTAGACCGACATTGTTTTAAATTGCATTTTGTTTTTCCTGCCTAAAATTTCGTATGTGACCTGGACCCAGCTTTCATGGTACTTGAAAGCTATGGTTTACGCTGTGCTATTCCATAAACACTAGGGCACATGGCTTGCAGGTGACGGCATTCCGCTGTGCTGGTGGTGATTTCTACTTAGTACATGCTTCAAAATATCACTTCCACGAGACAAAAATTAAAAACACTGGCTATGTGGTACAAGCCACCGTACAATCTAAAGGGTTCAGTCGAATGCACCAATCCATCAATGGCCATGAACAGCATTCCTGCTGATAATGATGAAGAGATGATCTTCATCATTATCATGGGCACAAGAACACTTCCAGCCTGCTCATTCTAAAGGGAATAGCCGCACCATCATCAGCAGCAGCAGTAATCACTGATAAAACCTACGACTGATTGGGTACCCTATGTCCGATCGTTCCGACGAGTCTGAGCCGCATGTTTGCTGTCTCTCGGAGAGAGAAGTGAGTGGACGGCTCCGCCGGAGCGGTCAGGAAGCATGGAAAATACAGCGTGAGCCCAATGGATCAAACCCACTTTAAATAAATCCTAATAACCGGCTTAGCATGCCGATGATGTAATTTATTATGAAAGTGTAGCTAGGTGATGGATTTGCTCTGTGAAAATATCGAACGAAAAACTTGCCTTAATCAAAAGTTAGCAATAAAAAGAAAAAAAATCCTACGACTCAGTTGGGAGTAAAGTGTTTTCTAGTTCAAGGATAAAAAAAAAAAAAAAAAAATAGTGAACCATTATGACGTTTCATTTAATGGAAAAAAAAAAGTGCGAAAAAGTCGCTCTGAATTTGCTCTAATTTTTTTTTTTTTTTATTATTCAAATGCCCCACCCCCTCTAGCCTCACTTTCATGGTCAGTTAGGGTTTCGTAGTATGCGAAGCTGATTTTTGTGATTTAGTTTGAGGTTGGTTGGATCCGTTGGGTGCACGCTGTATATTGGAATGTTTGCTCGGATATTGACTGTGTGTGTTTCGAGCTGCGTACAAGTTGGATTCTCTGCTGGTATAGTGGTGAAGTCCACCGTTCTGAAGCCTTCCTCCTCTTGCTTTGCAGAACAAGAAGGTAGGCATGAGAGTTCGAAACTCGTGGAATTCCCCTCCGTCTCGGTTTGCGACGAACACGTACAACCCCATCCGTGGCTTCGTCGAAGACGCCGGCCTCACTCCGAACCCAGAGAAGACGCTGATCTCGTTATCGATAGGTAAAAGCCAATCACCCTCTTTTGTATTCATTTGTATTTATAAACACTGCACGTGGCAGCACTCCCTAAGCAGGAGAGGTTTGATAATATTGAATTCTCAGATAATATTTATGCACTTTAAAAGTGTGGTTTGTGTGCATAAGTCTCGAAGAGTTGAGGCTTGGAGCTGCCTTGAGTCGGGGGCACGCGCGCCTCTGGAACGTATTATAAGTGGAAAACATAATGCATGCATCTCTACTGGCAAACATAACAATAAGCAGTGAAGGCAAGCAGTTCGATCGTTCAACTGTATAAGGAAAAAAGAAAGTGAGACATCTTTGGTCCCGGCAAGCTATGTGGGTATTACTTTAGAATTATTTAATTTTGCTGACCTATATATAGGGTGCGGGAAGGAAATAAGTCTCACTTATCAAACCAGTTTGTCTTGTGATAAAGTAAATAGAGGCACTTTGGCCTGCCGATCTGCCTGCGTAGGTGGAGCGGCTTCAGCCCCAGCCGCTTTAACGTATTTGTTACTGATGATGATGATCAGCAGTCTGACGAAATAAACCTAGCGGCAAGGTGCTGGATACGCTACACCCTCGTAATGTATTCCGTAAAAAATATGGATCCCACGCAATTGTAGCGTGCTCTAGGCCTGGCCGAATTAGAGAGTAATATGCTTCGAAATTTGCGTTAAAAATGTTTGTTTGTGTGCGGAAAGGAGCATTACTTACTGAGTGTTCTTTAAAAAAGTTGCTGAGAGGCTACGAAATTTTCAGAAATTGTTGAAACGTGTGTAACGTAAAAAAGAAGAAGAATTGTTGACATACTAATTTTGAAACAAACTCAGAACAATACAAATAGTGACGTGACGGTACAGTATGCTGCGTAGAGCAGTTTTATTTTCATATCTTGCTATTAAGAAGGCTTCAAAACGTAGCTCTGTTTTTCGGAAGATGTTCCATGTTAGACAGACCTTTAATAAATAAAAAAATAATAATAAAAGAGTCCCAATATAAAAAAAAGCTTATTTTTATCAATGCCTGCTTCAATCAAGCCTTGCTCATGTGCGTCAACCAACAAACGTGGGGGGTGTTACAAATGTGTGTGGGTTTACATACTTCATGCAGAACATTGACCACATATTAAACGAAGCGCCAAGACGCAAGGGCCCAAATATATCCTTTTTCACAAAAAAATATAACTCTCACTTTGCTTTTGTTACTTTGAATCTTGTAACACTTCTTTCAACGTACCCCATGAGAAGACATTGTAAATATGCATAGCTTGCAAGCGTCGCCATTGCTGGGTACTGACGGTTATTTCTACTTACTGGTTTCTTCGAACTACAGCTTCTGCGGTGTGCAGCTAACACGGCGAACCGAACGCTCGTGACGCATAAACTACTGGCATGGTCGCGAATTACGTTACATGCAAACTATGTATAGTATGATATATACATTATAATAAATAATACCCACCATATGATCGCAAAGTATTCTAGTCATATTACCGCACAAGTTTAAACAGCTGAAGTTGAATTTAGCGGAGGCCCGGCACTTCATGAGAATGCACAGAGCTTCTAAATCTATAGCTGAATTCACAATCTATCACTGTAAAAGTCGTATCTGTACCAGTCGTCTTGCGCTCGGTCACAATGGTTGTGCGTTCCACGCAGGTGACCCTACTGTTTTCGGCAACCTGGTACCCTGCGAAGAAATCCTGTCGCCCATCGAAGAGAGCGTCAGGAGCCTGAAGCATCATGGCTATATTCCCAGCACAGGTAACAATCGGACGCACAGACAGGGCTTCTCGCCGGTGCATGCCATTCTCTGTGTTCATGCATATGCACGTGCTTTTCTCGCTTTCCGAGGCGACGAAGATGCGCGTGCTGGGCTGTGAAAAGCGCACACTGCAGGTTGTAATTCTGTAAACACTGGAACGGTGTATATTCTCCTCCATCTCACAAGTTGAATTCAGTGCTGGCCAAGGCACGGACGGGCTCGAAAGCGTTGCTCTGTAGATTGTGCGCACGAGCGCTCGCGCATACACCCTTAGAAATGCCTGCGCGTCTACTTACCCGCCAAACACTCAAAGAGCCAATCTCTGCAATCTACGAAATCAGCTCAGCGAATGATGAGGCGGAACATCTTTTTAGACCTCAAAATAAAGTCCGCGCTGTGGCATTACGCAATGCAAAGCGTCATGCTTGCATTGCGTAATGCAACAGCGCAGATTTCATTTTTAGGTCTAAACAGATGTTCCGCCTCATCATTCGCTGAGCTGATTTCGTAGATTGCAGAGACTGGCTCTTCGGGTGTTTTGCGGGTAAGTAGACGCGCAGACATTTCTTAGAGTGTAGAAAGCGCGTTCGAAAACCACGCGCCCACGCCTGCGCCTTTGCCAGTTGGCCGAGTGTATACTCTGCTTTACTTAAGTGCGAGCGAAGCCGATGCTATTAGTGGCGAGATGTTTCGGTGGCGCCCTCGTTTGGTTACCTTTCGTGACGTCATTACCTTGTCAACAACAAGTTCGATGGTGTTTGTAATGGTCATGGTGGAAGCCTGAAATCATAGCGCTCTCAATGCAACACTGCCAACACCGTCAAAATTGGAGTTCTTACATCCCTCTTCTTTCCGTCGATGAGACATCCTTTGCTGACGTCATTGTCAGCATTCGGCCAATTGTGGTGGACCGAACACAGCGACGCTATCGATCACTCACATCGTCAATAGACGATCGCAAGCAGGGCATCTGGCTGCCGCCGTGTCTCTGCACGTGCGGGCACGTTTACGAGCAAGCTTCGCGTGCTGGTGCCCATGTTACTTTGAATCACGCTTCCACCTCAGAAGCGCGCGTTCATAGCACATCTGTTCAAGGTGTTGCGCTCGCTTGGGGCCCCTAGACGGAAAACTCGTGCTGCAGGAGAATAGGGTGCGGTCGTGTATCACTATACTCCGTTTCAACTTATGTTGTACGGCAGCGAAGGCTAGAAGCGCGAGCTCACAGCGTTGGCAGCTGCCCTTAATGCACGAGAGCTTGTGCCGCCGAGATGTGCCCCAGAGCAAGGAGCTCGCGCTTGTAGCCTTTCCTGGGGTGCCTCAATGTCCTTCTGTTTAGGGTGATGCCACCCTTTGTAGTACCCGATGCCGACAGCACGCGCTCACGTGGAAAATAGAAAGAAATCAACGAAAACAAAATGTCGCCATAATACAGTCAACGCCACAAACGCGTGCAGCGCCTCGCTCTTTCACGCGCTTCTGAACAAAAAAATAAAAATAAACGCGTGAGACAAAATGGCGAGATGCCACCACCCTAAGCAAAGCGCACATGAAGGCACGCTAGGTGAAACAGAGTATAGAGAGATTTAGTAGATTGTGTTTTCGGGCCACGCTATTTGTAGCGGGAGCTCGCGCTGCCACTTCGATGCATGCTCTGAAGTGGGCGCCCGGAGCGGTTGCGGGCCTTTGAAAACGATCACCTAAAACTCGCTAGGTATTTTGTTATGCACGCTATAGGTCCCCCGGCGTGCAGTCATACTGCATTTGCTAACTTCTTCATCTACAAAAAAAAAAAAAAAAAGTTGTTAGTTGTTTAGATAGCTGGAGTTAAGTCTGCCAGAGTATGGGGACGTTGTTATCCACTGCGGATGAGGAATTTAGCCATGCAGTACAACTGAGCCTGGGGTCTTTAACGTGCATCACGCAGCAGTGATACACGACCGCACGCCGGCACGATGCTCATCCAAATCGAAACGGGCAGGGGTGGGGAACGAACCCATGGTTCTGCAGCACGAACTTTCGTTCCACATGATCCAAGCTGCGCTGCGTTACAACATTCGGCCACCAATCCGCCCAATGCGAACCACACTGTCTAAATTTTGTTACTTTAGATTACAAATGAACGAAGAGGAAGGAAATATTGGGGATTTACATGGCGAAGAAAGTGAGGTCATGAGCGATGCCCCAAAGCCTTTTTAGGGAGAGACCGCCCAGGGTTCAAACCATTTACTTTGCGTTCTGGAGGCCGAAACCGAACCTGAACGCAACGCAGGAGGTCAACGAAGGCTGCGTTAGTAATTCCAAAAGCAAACCGAGTTAAGACGGTTTCTGAAAATAATATTCATGAATTTGTACAAATAACAACAGCTAAAACAAATGCTGGTACTGTTTCTAATTTTTACACAGAAATAATGAGATCCTAATATATCGCTGTCGTGATCAGTTATGAACTTGATGGTTTTTTGGCATTCCTTAGAAAACAAAGTAATTTCACCGTTGCGGCTGTTGGCAGCATGCACACGCCAAGTTGCACGCGCAGAGTCGGGATCACAAGCTGGTTAGCCGATTGTAGACGCCAACACGTATTTGACAAACAAGCCCGCGTTTGCCCGCGCCAGGTGTGGGTACTGCGCGTGAGAAGTGCGGTGAGGTGAAGCGCGTGCGCGTGAGCAGCGAGTGAGGTAAAGCGCGTGCGCGTGAGCAGCGAGTGAGGAGAAGCGCGTGCGGTGTACAGACAGCAGCGGCGTAACGTCAAAGCCGCGTTTTTTTTTTTTCATTTTTTCTTCATGCTCTTAAAACGAATATAACCGGTATTCGTTGTTTTTGTTTTTATTCCCGGTCCCTTTGGTATTTGATCAAACGTTGTTCGTTACTCGAGGAATTATGAACCTATTAACGAAGGACCAAATAAAATTGTTCACGTGGCTTGATTCCACATATGACCGTACTCTGCAGTGTTTTGTTTCATCTTTCAGGGACGCAAGACGCCAAACAGGCCGTTGCGGAATACTCGTCCACTCATGGACTTAACATTCCTCCCGAAGTAAGTAACAAATTACCTTAAAAAAAAAAATTTGCTGCGCTTGCGCAAAACGATACAACCGCTCCTTTCTGACCGAAAGCAATGTTGGTCGCCCAATTGTTTCTTATAATGCCAGCGTACCGTGTCGTTAATGACTGCAAGAACTAAGTTTACGGGAAAGAGAGTTTCTGGTTTCTTAGATTTCGGTCGGAAAAGCATTATGTGTCTCGCGAAAAAATAATCTTGGATAGCTGCCGTGAAGAGAAGTTGGACATCTCACCATGGCAGCCGAACTACCGGACCTGCAGCGCATTTTAGCACTGCCACGTTGACTTTGTAAGCTTCTGTTGAGTCTTCCATGCACCGTTAAGCCTCGTTTTGCACCCTTTCTGCAGGCTCGGACCCTAAATTCCCAAGTTTTTGGGGCTGTACAATAGGTGGAGCTCTGCGTTCCGCAAATCGTCAATTCCCTCCGCTTGTGGGATATACTGTATACTATAATCGATACTAAATACTCATGGGTCATTAGAATTTTAACACTGTACAAATAAACTAATACGTTTGGATCATATGCGGCTTCCACAATATCCAGATAAAAAGTGAGAAGAAAATACAGAGCACGCACTAACCTACACAAAATAATTGTCTATGTTTCTTTAATAATATTGTAGATAATATGGCGCTCTAAACAAAACATGAGGGCTCTCCGCATTCGAGAAAACTTGCGTATTTTGTTCCTGCACTGTTAGCGAAACGTATATACTCCTGATTATAATGCAATTAAATGCGAAGGTGCAAGCAGCTGGACAAGAATGAAGTAAATAAATGACGTATCGAACCCGGGACCTCTCCACTGGAAATGGAGAGGTCCCGGGTTCGATACCTGGACCAGGCGGATTTTTTCGGTCACACACCAGTCACCTAGCTGTGTTTGGAGATTTGTGTTTGTCCTTTGTATCTCTTGTTTCCCTTCTCCAGGGATGTACTCCTAGACAAAAAAATTGTGTTTCGTTGTCGAACGTGGGTATTTATAATAAGAGATTTAATTTATCCCTTGTAATCTGCAAAGTCGTGTAAGTCAATCTTAGCTGCGTGTTGATTAAAAAATCGACGCTTTGACTCTTTTACCTGCAATTAAAAATTTAAAACAAGCTCTACGTTTTAAAGCACTCTTATAGGATACATACTAACTTGCGCTAGAATTAGAAAATCCTGAACGGGAGCGCGAGGAACAGGTGTTCAAGGTTTCTTTAATTATGCACGCTTCCAGACATTCCGAACAAAAATGTAATGTTCTCCATGCTTCTTTTTTTTTTTTTTTTTTTTCCAGGGGATTTAAGCTTACTATAGTTAATTGCATACTGAGTCTTATTTTCTTGACCCGTTAACAGCCAATCACGATTAGATCTAAGAAAATGAAAGCCGTTTACAATTCCTTGTAACGCCGGTTAGAGCGCAGCTCTTGAGGAGGAAGACGGAAGCGTACTGAGGGATAGGTGACTCCTTGAGGTCACGTGACCTCAAGGGGGTCACGTGACTTCCGGGGTCACGTGACCTCGGGGGGTCACGTGACCTAGCGGTGTCACGTGACCCCCAGAAGTCACGTGACTTCAGGGGGTCACGTGACTTCTGGGGGTCACGTGACCTCGCGGTTACGCCGACGGCGACGCCGCTCAAGCTTGAAACGGGCCCCTAAGAGCTGCGCTCTAAAAAGCACAGTGAGCAAGACGTTTGACTTGCTCATTGCCCTCGCGCACATCTCATTTTTCAAATGTCGTATTCTGAGCCTCGTCATTCGCTGGGAACCTTCTATTGTTCGTCGTGAATGGCTGTCGCCGTCATTGGCTGTCCCCGTGTTCTGCAGGGAGGTGAACTCACAGATCAACCCAACGGAAGCATTCGAGTTCGCGCATTGCACAGAAGACCCGTGTTCGTTTCAAATCGTGAATTGACAGAGAAGGTCGTTGAAAATGATACCACAGAGTAGTACGTCTCGAAGAAGACAAAGCCATGCACAGCTACCGGGGAGCAGAAAACACACCTAGCCCCAAAGTCTACTTTCCCGCAGAGCACACCTGCAGCCGATCATCAAGTTAACGTAGCAAAAATAAATGTTGAAAAAAAAAAAAAAAAAAAAACCCTTGAGATTAGGGACAAAGAATGGGACAACAGGACACCATCTTTGAGTCGGTGTTGTGTTGTCCTATTTTTTGTTCCTATAGTTTCGAGGTTTCTTTTTCTTTTCTTTTTTTTTCTCACTATGGATCGTTTACCAGCTTACCTGCGCAGTAACCCTTATTTCAGCGAATATGAAGTCGAGAAAACGATTTTCCGCGAAAATACGATCTGCGCAGATAGTATTTTCTCGTGAGCAGGTTATCTCTGTTACGTAAGTTGCTGTCACACGGCCGCTGGGATCTTTCTGCGCGCTGCGGGAAAGTGGATGCGCAGGCTTTATGCATGAACAGTGCGTCCACTACTCGAGTGTCATGATTTAGATCTGAAGGCCGTGAAAGATAGGAACACCAAGCTAGTATGTTATTGCGATCGCCCCGGAGCCTTGACCGAAGGCATTGAAAATGTATACGTGCAGGTTGCAGAAAGCAGACGTGGAGATTTCTTGGCACACAGTGGAAGACGCTAGAAATGGGATGGGTTGTTTTCGGGTAAAACCCGATTGCCCCCCGAATCAGCATCGAAAGCATCCAAAAGCCATCAAATAACTCGGTTTTAGGGATGTGCGAAATAGTTGCTCGAATCGAATAGCGGAGTGTCTGTCATTCCTAGGTACTACACTCACTGCAAAGAGAGCCGACATGTCGTCGGTTTTCCTGGCACTGTAAAAGCTATACATCCCTTGCACTGACGTTAAATCATCCATTTCGCACACCAACTGAAGAGAGAGAGAGGGAGAGGGGGGAAAGCTGCTTTTGCAAAAATTTTGAGTGACAGGTAATCTTCTGGACTTCTGGGCAAGTCTTGGGACACACAAAGGAGAGTCCCGGTGAGAAGAGATTTTCTCCTTCCCTTCTTCTCTTGTGCTTGCCAGAGGGCTGACGGGATGACGTTAGGTGCAAGACACGTATAGGAATGACGCAGAGCTATTCGATTTGAGACACTATTCGGGTACCCTAACTCAATTTTCAGTTTTAATATCCAATTCAGAAATCAATCGGCAAAAGAGTGAGAAAAGAAGCATAATAGCCTGGTAAGTGGAGAGACGATAAAAAAAACAGGAGTTTAGTTTCCTATTAAATGTGTTACGTGAATGAATCTTAGCTTGCCGGTGGTTTTTTCACGTTATTCAGTTTAAAAAAAAATGAAACAGCGATAAAAAATAACTGTTGCCCCCTCCCCCATTAATCAGTAAAAATAACAGTTCACAACGTCTGCCACTACATATGAAAAGTGCCTCAAACAATTTATGGCGCGAATAACATGCCAACATACACTAAATCACGTAAGAGCTAGACCAGGTGTTGCCAGAGTGACATGAGGTTAGAGCCGCAGAAAAAAACACTAAAGTTCAGAGAGCCGCAAGAAAAAGGCAGTGGAGGGGGAGGGGGGGGGGTTCTTTTAACAAGAAACAATATGGAAGAGACGGTTCTTTGCAAAGGGGACAAGTATAATTCGACTATGACAAATAATGCCAGGCACCACAACGTTTCTTCAACCGCTAAGCAAAAATGAATGCATGGCTCGCTAGCCAGCCTTTGAAATTCTTTCTAGAACAATAAAGAAAACAGTGTCACTGGACATATTTATGCGTCAAAAAGCTGTCCAGCTGTATGTACGTAGTGTAGTACAGGGTTGCAAAGGCTGTGAGCTTCTTTTTTTTAATTCTATAATTTTTTGCTTTTGTTTTGGAGGACATAAGGGGGGGACACGCTTACCAGGGACCCGCGAGCCGCAATTCGACGTGCGAAGAGCCGCAAGCGGTTCGCGAGCCGCCGGTTGCCCAACCCTGAGCTAGGCTGACAAAACCTGCCTTCTAAGTAAGCAAAAGAAAAGCGAAAGGAAGAAAAAGTAAAAGATAAAAAAAAAAAAATAAAACAGCACGACGAGCGAAAGCAGAGTCACCTCAGACAAGGCGATGCGCCCAGCAATTCATATAATCGAATGACGTGTAAACTGGCCCGCAGGTCGCATTGCACAACCCGCGACTTAGCTACGCGGATCGGCGACTGCTGGCAGGAAATAATGGCCCGGTGTCAAGGTTAGTGACGCCACAGAAGCCGGACCACGAAACCTTGACACGGCGAGAGTCTTCCGATTCATTCCGTAACGCGCTTATCGGCACGGAGATCGGAAGATAACCAAACGCTCGCTCAACCAGAAACCCCCCTTCCACGTGGTGATTGCTCGCGGTAGACTTGGTGGATGGACGATGCCGCAATTCACGTCTTTTCCTCCGCCATAATTTCCCTCCCCAATCGGGAGACTCGAAAGAGTTCGCTTTTGCTCAACTTCCGCGTACTGAGCGGCAGATGACTGCATGCGCGGCTGCAATGCCTGCTTCGAAGAGAGAAACTGACGCGACTCGTTGAAAGCTGATGAGAGTAAAACTGCTTCTTGGCAATAACGAGCGTTTTTTTTTTTTTTCTTTTAATCGAAGTGGAATGTTGGGGTTCAACATTAGCATTTCCGGAAAATCAACTTCTTGAGGGCCGCGGCAATGGAACCCGTTTTGACTCCCGTGGCAACTTGGAGCAACTTTGGCTATCCGCAGCACATACTATGCGTGTTTTAAATAACGGCCGCCTCGTAGGGCGCCCTGTGGTTACAGTGGTCCAGGGTCTTGCGGCGAATACAGAAATGTCAGTCGCCCAAACTTTAAAACATATTCTGATAAAAAAAAAAACACAAAAAAAACAAAAAAACAGCAGAATTGGCAAGTGAACCGCTCTTGGACGAGGCTCGTTGGCTTCCCCCATCTGTTGTGTGATTCTGCAGTCCGACTCGTTGGTATGTGAAGCATTATAGTATAGTTGGGGAACAAGAGGGTATAATTAAATGTTCGGCATACGGTCTTGTGCTCATTGTTGTAATTATGGAGAGTAAAGCGCAATTTTTTTTTTATCGTACTGCCAGATGCCTTCTCCAATTTAGATTAAGCGGAGAAGAAACACAGCAATACATATGCAGCGTTCAACAGGTGGCTGCATGGCTACTCACTAGACAACGTGTAAACTAGCCATTTCCAAGTGGATATTCGCATGAGCCGCCACCTCGACCGGACATCGGCTTCAATACGAGAGAATTCGCTCGGCTTCGAACATTCTGGAAACTCAGTGTGACCATAAACCGACGAGTCGAGCTAAGTCACTTTTTTTTTATGTGACTTGGCTGCCGGCCAGTACATCTCTTGGGGTCATAGCTGGCAGCACGTTTTTTCGAAGTTGGACATGATGAAACAGCGGGGCACCCTACCGGTCTTACTTCACATGGCCCCAACTACTTGATGTCCTAGAAGCTCTAATTAATTCAGGACGTTAAGAAAATAAACATGCTTCGAATCTCCGATATGAATCGCTAATGCGAAAACGCTTTTTTGACAAACCGCGCTGTCCGCGCCGCCTTTTGTTACAGGATGTCATCTTGACCTGCGGCTGTTCGCACGCTTTGGAAATGTGCGTCACGGTTCTCGCTAACAGCGGCCAGAACATCCTGATGCCAAGGCCCGGCTTCTCCGTGTACAAGACGCACGCCGAGTCTTTAGGCATTAAAGCCAAATTTTACGACCTCCTGGTAAGTGAGCCTGTGAAGGCAAAGTGTACCATTACCTGGCAGTCATTTGGGATTGCCTTGCATTCTGCCCAGGTAAAACCAACACGGTCGATCGCTTCACTTTCAAAATAACTTTACCACTAATGCCTCCGAAGAGGCGTGAGAGATAATATTCGACATGAGGCACATAATTTATTATTTGAAGTTCACAACCCATTGTTGGGAGGTCTCAATCACAGTCATATGATAGGTCCGAGTCATCTTTGAGCACCTTTAAGACCAGCCAGAAGTCCATTTTGAAGCAGTAACAAAAAATTTTGGAGCGTAAGCATGCACTTTCTTTTCATCATCATTATAACATAGTATTATATTATACTGTGCTATGATTCGTATGCTTGCCGGTCCAACTAAAAGGCTGTGCCTTCTTCGTTAACCTACTCCTGGGCGACAACTCATTAGCATCCACTGTAGAGCAGAATGTAATTCCCCCAAGGACCCAATTAGTCGTTTAGATGTATATATACTTAAAGGTGACAGACACCAAAACGAATGTCGCGACAAGAACTACCCTCCTCGTCTAATATGTTCCACTGCCACAGCCGCTTTAACTCCATGTTCGTTGGTGGGCATTGCATGGACATGCGAGTGAAAGGTTTAGGTATGAAATTCAATAATTAAGCATTCCACCGAAAATAAATTAAAACAGGATAATTTTGAGTACCAAACTTCATGTTATGAGAAAGTTCTGAAGGTAAACTCTATTAGCAACCTTCCCTTGATCCACTGCTAAAATTAATTTTATTTTACTTAAACCATGTATTTACTGACTGAGCGAACTCCTGAAGGTCTACATAGGTGGTAAGCAAACGAAAGATATGGCATAAAATGAAACCTATAGTGGAGCTTACACCTAGCGGAGAGGATTTAGGAGAAAGTGAAGGAGAGGAGGAGAAGTCAGCGCGCGAGGATGTCAGAACACCGAGCTCTGATTGGAAGAATTAGTGGGTAGACCTAAAGTCTCTTGATGAAATTCACGCTTTCAACTACCGCCAACCATTGCTGTGGAAACGCGCAAGACACGTGCCACGAACGGGTGCTGCGCCGCCATTTGCTTCCAAGGGCAGCTCGAGACACGGGCCCCGGGCACTGGCGCATTTGACGCGATTTGCAAGACAAACGCAAGCAGATTGAGGGGCTTTAGTAAGACCTAATGCTTGCAGCCTTTGCCTCCACTGCACTCGTCGAACGCGTTAAAAAAAAGTCGGGGCACTTACGCAACCCGCAGGGTGAAACACTGCGACAGCTGAGGTGTGACGTCGGAGCCGCTAACGTGTCATTTCGAAGCAGATGGACTGAATCAGAGAACGTGCGAGCGCGCATTATAGAGTCCGTATAGGCGTTTCGTGGTAAACCGAGTAATACACCGGACGAAAATTATATGGCGTTTTGGAACCAGTGAAGGTGTAATAGGTAGAGAGCATTCCGTGAACCTGTTAAACAGTTTTATTGGACATAAACTAGGACTGCCTCGCGGTAATTGAAGAACGCTTCGAAAATCGCGCGCCCAAGTTTGAAATCCAGGGAACGACGAAACTACATGTATATGCATGAACCGTTCCCTGTCGTCGGTGTGGCTGCCTGCCTGGACGTCTTATGCAATGTTATTGGACACAGACTAACACCGCCTTGTGGTCACTGAAGAACACTTCCAAAATCGCGCTCTCAAGTTTCAAGCGTGAGCTCCACCTAATTTTACGCCCGTGGTTTCGCCGGCTTAACACCCACCTAGCCTTATTGGTTTTATCGCCCGAGAACCTTTCTGGCATAACTAGCGAATACGCTTTGTTTTTATTGTTTCCATTATCAGCAGTCTCACGTCTATGTTTCTACGTGCCCTGTGGTGTCACGTGATGATGTGCTGTCACGTGAAGTCATGGCATCACGTGACTCACGGCATCACCACACGTAATTAGGTCGCGTGGCGTCACTGTGCAACGTGACTCGACATGACAATGTCACGCCATGGTGTCAGCTGGCGCCAGGTAACAGGTGACGGGAAGCGAGGCGCGACGTCAACGAGGAATGTTTTGGTGGAGTGCCGAAAATGGCCCGCGTCGATATGAAGCGCGGTCGACGGCGCGAAACCCGCCAAGTGTCCCACTAACTGCTACCGCAGTAATATCGCAGTAAAAGCGGAACCCAGGCGTCCGGCGTTTGGCTGTTGAACGAGAGCACACGGGTTCCCTTGAAAACATTGCTGCAAGATCATAATGTTCCTAAAAAAACATACTTTTTGCACGCGTTTTAACATCCCGTTTTGAAGGAGCGCTTTTTCCATAAACACAGCTGCTCTGTGGCGAAGCGAGGTACCCAAGCTCGCGATGTTCACTCTGCGGGTGTCTCTTTTTCGTAAGAGTCGCACCCAACGGAACTCACTAACCCACCCAAACAGACCGAAACCCGAATGTGAGTATTGGGTGCTTAGGTAGGAATAAACAGTACGTTATTCGAATCAATAATCCGAAATTTCGAAAATTCGCACAGGTACGCCGTAAATATCAGACAGTGAATAGTTTGAGCTTCGTTGCCGAGAAGAAATTAACTTTTGGCGGAATGTGGCCCGGAATTCCCGAGATGTTGGTAAAGTGTAGCAGAATGTAGCAATGTCAGCGCTTTGGTGCAATTCAGTGCATCATATCACTACATTCAACAAAGACGATGATTTTGTCCATTAAATATTTATGTATGACGGAGAAAACTACGGTTCATATGCTTCCATAGAGTTCAGACACTTGGGAGTTGGCAAGTAAACCGATATGCTTTTTTTTTTTTTTTTTCTTTTTTCAGCCTGAAAGGAGCTGGGAAGTGGACTTAGCGCATCTCGAGTCCCAGATCGATTCCCAGACGATGGCCATAATCGTCAACAACCCAAGCAATCCGTGCGGGTCTGTGTACTCGAAAGAGCACCTGAAAGACATATTGGCAATAGCTGCCAGAAACTACGTTCCGATTATCGCCGATGAAATCTACGAGCACTTCGTAAGTAGCTGGGTTATTCACGCCGTGCGGTAGTTAGTACTGGTGACCGTAGGAACAAAAACACTATGGCAGAGAGAAAATTTTGTGTTTTGTTCGCACTTCCTGTCTGGTCAGACTATGCAATTCGGTATATCCCATATGTACGCCTAGAAAGAAAACGCTGTGATCGAATTGTGAGGTTTTAGAGCAACCCCTGGATCTTTTTTTATTTAAACTCAGGTATTTCCTGGACAAGAGTACCACCCAATGGCTTCTCTATCTGAAGATGTTCCTATCCTGTCTTGCAGCGGTCTCACAAAAAGGTAGGAAAATTAATTTGTTACCTCAATTTATCGCACCCAGTATGATGTGACGAACCCCACAAATATATAACAACGACAAAAAAAAAAAAAAGCATAACGAATAGACAAGGGTAAAAAAGCCAAGGCTGCTTCGTGTTGTCTAAAGTCGGTGGGAGGTTACGAAATCAGTAAACTCTCCGCCTCCATCGCGAGTTCGTTACCTTCCGCCGGGCTCTGGCTCCGCGTGCGCCGAAGCGATATTGGTGCTATCAAAGGCAGAGCACTGGAGGCGGAGCATTTATTGAATGCTTAACCTGTCACCGCTGTTCTTTGATTTATCACGATGTCCCTTGACTTATCATGATAGAATGATGGAACTAGGGGGAGATCGTCACCTTATGTTGTACCGCAGCGAAGGCTAGGAGCGCGAGCTCATAGCATTGGTAGCTGCCCTTAACGCACGAGAGCTTGTGCCGCCGAGATCTGCCCCATAGCAAGGAGCTCGTGCTTGTAGCCTTTCCTGCGCGGTACATCATAAGGTGAAATAAACTATAGGGGGAGATCGGTGGCCGAGTGGGTTAGCGCACACCGGCTCGGAGCACGTGGAGCGAAAGCTCGCGCTGCAGGACCCAGGAATCCTGGGTTTAATCCCCACCCCTGCCAATTTCGATCTGGATGAACATCGTACCGGTGTGCGGTCGTGTAACACTACTGCGTGGTGCACGTTAAAGACCGCACTGGCTAAATTTCTCACTTACAGCTGAGAGACAAGTAGCCCGTGAAGGTTAACTTCAGGCTGTATAAACATACAAATAGCACAATTTTTTTTTATATAGAACTAACCTGTTTGCTGTTTTCTGGCTTATTACGGTACAACTACTGACGCCACTGTAAGAAGATTGAGGGCGCAGGTGAGTATTAGGCAACATAATAAAACAGAAGACACGGAATAAAAAAAGACGCATACAACACCGTCTCGGACACTGCTAAACTGGCTAAATGTTTTATTCACATCAGCCTCCCTATATTCGCAAGTTTCAGCGATTGTGGTATTGCGGTGTGAGAATCGCGCTCCCTAACTCCTGGATGACCGGCTTCAGATTGAAGGTGCTTACTTACGCAATTCCTGACGTGGAAGTATGAGGTAAGACTCTTATACTGCTCGTATTTAACAAAATTAGATTTACTCACGCGTCGCAGACCCAACCTCGTACTGCTGCTCTATGACGATCATCCAGATGACAGTCATTTTCATAGGGACTGGTGCGCCCCCATAGGCCGTGAAAGTTTCAAATAGCCGACAACCCTCAGTCACCGCGAAAGACATGTGGTCACTATGTCTTATCCGTCCCCCCGAAGGGAGAACGAAGCCAACCTTCTGCATGGATGGATGCTAACGGCTGTATCCTTTATGACGGGCGGCAGCTTGCGCCACCTAGTCTAGAAATTAAAAACCAAAAATATGATTCCTCCCTTCGCCCTTCTAAACCAATTTGCTTGACTATCACCAGGCGGTGTGGGATATCACCAGGATAACCGTTGAAAAACCAGGCAAAAAAAAAAAAAACCATCGCCCCCGCCTTTTTCCCCGACGAGGGTGTCGCCAATTTTCCTCTGGTCAAACCTAGTCGGGTTGTCGCATCACCGTGTCCACTGGGAGACAAGGTTGAGATTTTGGGCCGGAGCCACGCGGGAGGGAGTACCAATGTTCCCTTGTCCCGCCTGTCCCCAGCTTTGTTTATTAGTTGTAAGTCATTCAATTCTCCCTCGATAATTTCCACCAGTCTTCCAATCTCCTTTTTGTTAGTAAAATGCACTTATCATACTTACATTCTCGTCTGCAAACCCCAGCGCTCCGTCTAAATCCGTCGCCCCCTCCGGGAGAGCGGGAGCAAGCCCTGTGCACCTCAAGACCATATGTTTCTATTGTCTCGTCTTCCCTTTGACATACGGCACACCGCGTATCCATTTCTTCATACTTTGTCCTATATGTCCTAATCCTCAATGCTCCTGTTCTTGCCTCAAATAACAACGGGCTCCCCCTTGAATTACTATACCAATGTTCCTTCCCTATTTCCTGTTTTTGTCTCCTGTACATTTAAAACGGATTTTCTCTGCATTCCTTCCTCTCACATTTTTCTCTCTGCTTCTTTTACTTTCTTTCCCACAAAGGCAGTCCACTCTGCCACAGCACTTGACTGTTGGGATTTGAATTTCAATTTTCGGGTTCGGTTTGTCCATTTAGTGTACAGACTTTTCATACATAGATGCTTATATATCTTTTTCGCCCATTGTGCATTCTCAATTGTATCTAGCCTTTGTTCAAATTTCAACTTAGTGATCGCCTCTATAGCCTCGCAAGATGCCCAGCCCATGTCTCCCTGCCCTCCTTCATTTGGTGTATTCCCATGCGCCCCCAATGCCAGTCTGCCCCCACGCTCCTCTACCTCTAAACTCGACTGAACATCAGATTAAAAAACAACCCCGGCACCATTTCTATATTCCCCTAACAACTTCATGTCTATTGTAATTCTATAGTGCCATATGCTTCAAAATTGCTGCATTTCTTTTTCCTTTCCTTAATTATTTTCTTCCAGCCTACAGGGTCAACCTCTCCGACAAAAGACACACTTAAACTTCAACAATACTTCCACTCCAACGAAACACCTACTCCCACCCTACGGGGTCAAACTCTCCAACAAAAGACAGGACAAGTTCTCCAGCTACGCAATGACGAATTGTGGAAAACCAAAGCCCAACCAAACCAAACCAAAGCCCAACCAACCAACCAAACCTAGCCACATCGTCAACTTTCACCCCACAGGTCAAAATCTCTAACAAAAGACACGACAACAAAGTAAAAAAAAAAACAAAAAAAACTTACAGTTGCAAAAAACGTTTGTACTCGTTTGTCCAACACCACGGAGGGAACATTGACACAATTTTCTGCGGATGTGACTCTAATCGTTTCCTTAACTACGCGTTTAAACGGGTAGTTAAGGAAACTCTTTGCTAGCAGTCACTGTTGAGGTACGCTCGGGAAAACAATTGTTGCACCCTTCCCGGTGCTTCATTATTTGCGAGTTTGTCGCCTTTGACAACACCGCCCTTTTGTCTTCTGATACTCTCTCGTTGACACAACGGCCAGTCTGCCCAGGTATGAACAACCACAAGCCAAGGCAATGTCATAAACGACACTTTTTTTTTTTTTTTTGCGATCCGCGGTTGGATTTTTTGTGCTTTTTCCCAGATTCCTTATTTGCTTCCGAGTAAGGTGCCAAACAGCTGAGCCCAAAGTCCTTTCTGAAAACAACTATGACGTTGTACCTCGCTGCCAAGCCCTTCAAATTGTGAGAAACGGCATGAAAAAACGGTAAGCTGCGAGCCTTCTTTTCTTCCCTCATACCCAGGCTAACAAAGAGTTTCCTCATTACACTCACCAGAACCTCCGTGCGATAACCCGATCGAACTAACCGACAAAACTTATACAAAAACGCGTCACGTTAGAAATGTCCGTAGGACTTATCCAGGGCATTTCGAAGGAGGGACGACCACCACACCTCTTTCACCTTCTTCGGGTGACAGCTTAGGCCCAGTAAGACCGGTTTTGACGTGCCTTTCCCGTAGCGCCAGCACAGCCCTACTTTTGAAAAAAAGAAAAAAGAAGAGAACCTTTAAAACCAGAAAGGGAAGAGAACTGCTCGCAGCCTTCTCATAAGTAAAAGAAAGTTTTGGAGCTTGGCATTTTATAAAAGCCACCCACCCATCGACATTTACCCCCGTGGAATACACAAATGAAAAGGACATCAACACACCTTATAATCGCGCACCCAGTCGACATTGACTGCGATTTCGCATGAACCTCTCGATCTAAACCTTTTTGGCAACTTTTTTTTTCTTGTTGGAGATGTTGATCTGTGGGGTGAAAGTGGACGATGTGGGTTTGGGGGTTTGGTTGGACTTTGGTTTCCCAGAATTCGTAATTGCGTAGTTTGAGAACTTGTCTTTTGCTGGAGAGTATGACCCCGTAGGGTGGAAGTGGGTCCTATGTTGGAGTGCAAGTACTGTTGAAGTGTGCTGAAGTTTAAGTGTGTCTTATGTTAGATTGGTTGACCCTGTAGGGTGGAGGTGGGTGCAGAGAGTTGGGTTCGTTCTCCCTTCAGGGAACAGATGAGCCAGACTGTGACCACGTGTCTTTCGCGGTGACTGAGGGTTGCCGGCTATATAGGGAGGCTGATGTGAATAAAACTTTTAGCTGTGTCCAAGACGGTGTTGTGTACTACCTTTTTGTTTCCGTGTCTCCGGTTTTATTATGTTGCCTACTGACGCCACACGAACAACCAGCCGAGAAGTCTGTGGGCCGTCACTGGCAGATGCGCACACATGGCCGAACTAAAGTCGAAATCCGGCACATAAAACAGAACAAAAACTATCTTCCGGTGCAGGTTTCTAGTCCCAGGCTGGAGAACAGGGTGGATCATCGTGCACGACCGACAAGATGTCTTTGCACAAGGGGTGAGTCTGATTGCCTTTATTTGGTCGCATCTCTCCCGAGCCGTGTTGTTACAGGTGCCATGCTAGTGCGTCCAACTTTCTGAGTTGCCACCGCGAGTTGGTGAGTTACTCACCGATCTCTGCCCCTTACCACTTACCAACGAAAAGACCTGGCGCAGTCCTTCGGCCCCGTCCTCAATGTCAACCCAGACGCTCACCTCACGCTTTTGACGGGCAGTAAGTGGTAAATCCAAAGACGCAGAGTGGAAAATGGGCACTAAAATTTTAACCATAGGCACGAGTGAAGCCAAATCCTACAGGCAGGAGCTTGTTGCTTGCGGTTATGGCGAACAGAGCATATAACCTCGTACAGCAAGGCTGACTGACCTAAGTTTTAAATTATATTGCGCTTGCAACGTTGGGTCTAAAAAAAATAAAAAACAAGAAAACTGAGATTGGACGTTGGTGAAAGGGCCAAAACTAGGAATTAAGGTATGTAATTGATCCTATGATATGCTGGGAACATGAGGCGGGGTCAAAGGCTGCACATGATAAAGCAGACGAATAAAAATAGTCGCGACGTTTTCTGCTTTCTTGAAGACATTGTTTTGGTCGTAGTTCCCTCTTCCATGTGGAGCTACTGAGAGTATCAATAAAGACGAAATTGTGAGCATGTGTAAAACCGACATCATGATGGGAAATTGAGTATTCAACATAAAACAGTTGCTACTGAAAATTTGTGGGTACAAGTAATAAAAGCAACAGAGACCGACGATGTGCCGAGTAAACAAGCTATCTGTAAACAAAAAGATATGCCAAGCAAAGCAAATGAAAAACACAATTTTGCCGCGCGATCGGACCACGCGTGCGCACGATTGCTTACCAAGGTCAGCACTCGTCGGAGCGCGTGATCTATAACCACTCGCGTCATTAAGTAGCCGAGCCATTTGTCAAGATACCCTCGAAATTACTCATGTCCAAGCGGAACAATTACGACGCAGTTGTCGCAGCCAGACAGAACCATTTCCGCGTGGCGCCGGTTATTACGGTAGCGAGAAATGTAATCGATGCGATTATAAGCCTGGCTATTTTCTGGCGTAAACATTCTCGGTGGTACGAGCGCCCTAACAGCTTGCAGCCTATTTCTTTGAGACCTAATAGAGTCCAGCTTTAAATGCTTGGAAAGTACATTGCCCAGACCAGTTACGACAGCGGTCAGGGACGTGCTTCGTTATAGGGAACAAAAAAAAAAAAAAAAATACACGGCAGCTACAGAAACGATCTGCGACAGCTGCAGATTGAAAGTAAAGCAACGGCCCGTAAACGGGGGGAAAGGGGGGCGGGGGGGCATCGTTACCAGTCTGGCAAGTTTACTCATAATGCCCTTTAATAATCTGTGCAGGTGAAACGAGGACTTCAGTCTCTGAGTCAGAAGATCATGGGAGGCAATTCTCTAATCCAAGGGGCATTGCCTTCCATATTGAAGAACACCCCACAGAAATTTTTCGACGACATTGTTTCAGTAGTCAAGGTAAGCCGTCCGACGCTTTTGCTGCGCCAAAATAATGCATTTTGGTAGAATGGCGAAGTATTTGATTCGAGGGCAAGCTTCGAATACTCCTTTTTGTTTGTTTGTTTGTTTTAGAACAACGCGGAAACAGCGTACGAAGCCATATCCAACATTCCGGGTATGAAACCGGTCATGCCCCAGGGTGCAATGTACATGATGGTAGGTGTCAGCCGAACTACGTTGCTTGTAGCGTAAGTAACGCCGCGTTTAATTGGCGTTCAAGGAGTGTGTGTTGCAACGGCTTTCCTCTCCAGGTGGGCATCGCCATAGACAAGTTCCCAGATTACGACAACGATGGCGAGTTCGTCAAAGCCCTGTTCTCGGAGGAGTCGGTCTTCTGCATGCCAGGAAGGGTACGCCGAGGCTTTCTTGGGTGTCTTTAGAGCCGGGAATGCATGCTGCCGGGTCTCAAAAATCCAGCAAAAAGAAAACACGACAAACAGAGAGAAAAGGCAATCGGCTTCGGGGTCATTTTATTGCATAAGTTGTGCCGAAAGCTGTTGCTCGCTGTGGCGGCGCCACGCCGTCTTCATCTGATAGGACACGCACTCTAGACTGGCTGTAGACAGCCGGAGGCAGACAGCTTCTCTATCTCTTCAGCTCAAATAACACGCTGGGCAGGCCACTCTTTGGCGCCGCAGAGAAAAACAAGGGGCGTGTTGGCTGTGCGAGACGAAGCGAATAAACGGGCAACCTCGGAACCTGCAGAAAAGCCAAAGCGAAATAAAATCCGATGGCAGAGCAACTGAAGACGTGTACGGAACAGATAAAGAAAAACGGCTGACGTCATACCAGTGTATAAACAGGAGTTTCCCTCTCTTTGGCACATGGCAAGGAGTGTGACGTAAAATTAATTTACTCGAGAGCTGTTCTATTGGGCTCTTAGTGCCGACCGGATCCAGCCAAGGATATTAAGAAACTCGAGTCAACCCAGAAGAAAGCAGTACGTTTCATTTTTAGCCACTATGACAACGAATTCTCACCCACCTCTATCTAACCTTACCACATTTGACCTGAGCCCCCTTTCTGCGCGTCGCCGCTCCGAATGTGTGAAGTTCCTATACTCCTTAATTAGCTCAACTCGTTTCACCTCATTAACTTCATATCTAAACTTTTCCAATGCGTCATCTACAAGGAACATCACGGCTTAAAATTTTCACCCTTTCTTTGCACGTACAGACATGTTCAAATACAGCTTCTTTACTCGAACAATTGAAATATGGAACTGATTACCCCGAAATATTCGACTGCTATCGCCTGATGAATTTGTGTGTGCCGTTGACAGAGGTTGGTGTTTATGTTTATGTTCTGTGACTTCCTTTATCTTTGTACGATTGCACTTGTCTCATAGTCCCCACCCTGTAATAGGCCCAACGGGGCTGGAGTATGTATAAATAAATAAATAAATAAATAAATAAATAAATATGAGAAAGGAGGAAGAGAAAGTGACAATTTTTGTTGCTAAGTAGTTCTTGCCACATTTCATTTTCGTTGCAACACGAGACGAACGGTCGTCCACGCGTTATTAAAAGGGAAGTTTGATAACTAAAATAGCAATAAAGCACATAACGACATTATGATTTTTTTTTCGTCTGCGCAGGAAAACGCTTGCGTGTCATATTGGCCTTGCTGGGTGTAAGACAAAAGTGGTCTAAAATGAAAGTGGCCCCAAGTAACTTTGTATTGTACCGTTTTTGGTGAATGGCTGCTGGTTTAATTAAAAAAAAACTTTCAATGCACATTGTAATGTCTTAAAGGGAAGCTGAAACACTTCTTTCAAAAAACGAGATAGAGGTTGATCCTACCTTAGTTTTATCTCATGAATCTGAATATCACGTTTGTTCTGCTCGAAGAGGTAACTAAACGCGAGAAAACACAAAAAACCTCCGACCAGTCGTTACATCGTAAGAGGATCTTTTGGCCGCCAAGCGCGTGTCGCTCATGTCGGCAGCGCGTGCAATTGCAAGCTTGCCAGGTATAGACCATTGCAAGCATGGCGCTCCGACTGGTGCCCCATGAGTGCAAGCAGGTGCAGCTTGCACGTGACTTTGGCAAACTTGAAATTGCACTGGCTTGTCCGGACGAGCAGAGACATGGCGGTGGCAAGTGGCCTTGTTTGCAATCGTCTATATTCCCCCGCACTGACACCAGTCGTGATGCCCTTTCTCGACCTTTATGAAAATAGCAAGAGTGCGCGTGCATAGTTTTGGTAGGCGCTGATGATGCGCGAACGCGGAGATTCCGAAAAATCCTTTTATGACGTCACGCTCCGGGAAAAAAAAAAGGGGGGGGGAGGGGGGGCTTCAGCGGTACTTTTAAGATTATTTTGTGCAACCTCCATGCGCAAAACTAAAAAAAAAAATATATATATTCACAGGGTTTCTTCTTTTATCCCTAAGACGACTTAAAGGGATACTCCACCGATTTTTTGAGCTACCTCAACTAACTATATTTTCTGACTCCCCGGCCTTTAGCCTTTCCGGTGTGCTATTTAGCATCGCGAAATTCATAATAGGTATTGTGAAATCGGCAAATGAAAATGGTGCAAAAACCAATATTCAAATATTCGCGCACTTTTCAGTGCCGTGACGTCAGTGGCAGGCAGGCTTGCCAGTCGAGCAAGTCGTCTAAAAATTGAATATGCCAATCATTTGTTCCGCGCTGGAGCGCGGATACGGGAGCGAGCTTCCAAAGCACTCATTTGACACCAAGAAACTGCTTCAAATCCGTTGGGAACAACTTCTGTAGTCCAAAAAGTTAACCCCTGCCTTCCACTGACGTCACTTTTTCATTGTTGCCAATAGAGACTTTCAGTTTGAAAAACATGGTGAAGACCAAAACTGTAAATTCAATAACTTCGCGAAAAAACAATATTTTGACCTAATATTTGGGATACTATTTTAGCAATGTTTGTTGGTTAGTTTAGCAAAATTTCAAGCAAATCGGAGACAATGAAAAAAACGGTGGAGTATCCCTTTAAAGACGAAAGCCCAAGCGCCGATCCCGGTGATAGCGAACCTCCGAAGAGAGCGCACTTTCTGACGACGCAATTTTGGCAATCTCACGGCATGTCGCACGCCCGCTCTTCACCACTGCCCGAGCGAGAGCGCCCTCCTCTCCCGCTGGGTTTGCGCCGCGCGCGAGCCTCCGCCGATTCGGGCACAAGTAACGCCATCTCGTGGTCCAGTGGCGAACCGTAGGTTTTGATACCTTTCGTGTCGCCGACGTGTTTTCGTACTTTTCGTGTCGTCGACGTGTTTTTGGACAAGGACTTTGAAGGTCGACTGAACGATGAGACATTTAAGACTTTCGCCTTAATAATCTCAATGTTCGAGATCCTGGAGGCCAAATAAAGACGATTTAAGTGTTCCCTCAAATACAAAACCGCTTCAGCTTCCCTTTAATACACCATGAACGACTTTATTTTCGCGGGCTCAATATTTCGTGGGCAAGAAATTTCGCGAATCGGGGTAGTACGCAATGCATTTATTAGCACCGGAAAATGTATACGCGGGACCTATTTTTTGCGATAATATTCAATTCGCGAAAATTGGGTTCTCTCGCATATTAATTACATCGTTTACAGTATTTGGAAATGAGCGCGGAGTGCTCCTCCATCTCTATATTTGGGCTCAGACAGATTCACGACTGCCGGAGCCCAAACGATGCGGCAAAATGCAACGGGGACAATTTTGTTCGGGTTCGCCCTTGGGACCCGTTTGACAGGGGCCATTTTTCCCGCACCCGGCTTCGCGACATCAGGAGTAGGGTGATATATCGAATATTCTAATACAGCTCAAGCCACTTACTACAGTACACAGGCACAGAATGACGCTTCGCTCCGGGATTGCCGTCCAAAGCCGTCTGACAATCGCCGGTACCTTTCTTTCATTACAGTGCTTCCATTACCCGAACTACTTTCGGATTGTGCTCACCGTACCACAAGACATGCTACTCGAGGCCACCGAGCGACTGGCTGCGTTCTGCAAGGCACACTATATGGACGAAAACAAGCTCATCTCACAGAGCGAGAGCAGCATTGTCATCGGCGGAACACCCATCCCTATGGAGGCCAGGGGATAATGTACAAATAAGACTTGCAAGCTTCGAAGCAATTTTGTATTGACGATCTGGTTACCGGAAGGTATTGCCACCACAAGGATTTCAGGGTCAACAGGGACTACTACACTAAGCAAGGCGTTTGAAAGCGATTTCTCGGTCAGGGTTGATGATTTACTCCTCCTCCCTGTAGAATGAAACTTTGTGCAACAGGACATCGAGGTGAAATACGCAGGTGTGGTGGAAACGTTGATCAGAGTTGAGACCCGATGCTTTTCATGTCGTGGCGCACTAAATCCGCTGGTGAGACCCCATTCATCCCTTTGTGCAATATCATATGTCAACCTTGTTTCCCCAGTACAAAAACACAAAATGTTCCTCGATTGTGTACACTGGACAATGTATAATATAATGTTTTCAGAAATAAAAGAATATCGTTGCCCCGACTGATCATTGTGGTAATTTTAACATATATACATCGTACCGAATGCGTGCAAGACAAATATCTGCTCATCAGGGTTGTGAAGTACCTAAGTACAAGCAACTGCCAGTTGGTACCTATACGCTTGTTGAAGGTTACGAAAAGCAGGAAGCTCCTCTCGTGAAGCGCTCCACCCCTTCCACTTAGCAGAGCGAACGCCGGTGGGGAGGCGAGTCCTTCCTTGCCTCGTCTAGCCTCCTCTACGGCGTTCCCTCTCCTAAGTGGGAGGGGTTGAGGGCTTCGCGTGAGGTGCTTGTCCTACTTTTCTTAACCTTTCTTGTGTCTAAAGGCCCGTTCACACACGTGCAACCAAGTAGGACCGACTGAGGCAAGACCGGTTTTTAAGCCTCTTGCGACGACGTAAGGCGGGATACAACGCTGCGGAGCAGGTCCTAAGCCGTCGCAGGCTTAAAAACCGGTCTTGTCTCAGCCGGTCCCACTCGGTTGCAAGTGTGTGGACGGGCCTTAACGTACAAACCTAGGTAAGTTTTGTTTTGCAACTGTACCTGTATCTTAGGTACAATTTCCACTAATTTGTGAGTACAAGTTACTTTACTCCGCGTATATTTTTCGTAAAATTCCCCAGAACGCACTACCCGAGAGATTGCCCATCCCGTTTTTCTGGCCAAATATTCATTAGGATAAACATTCCGAAACATCGCCCACCCCCTAATTCACGCAATGTCCGACGGGACTCCCTCCAGCTGCCTCGTTCCAAGTCAAAAGAAAACAAAACCATAATTTTATGGGGTTGCAAACTCGACAGATTATAGGGATTTATTTCTAATCCGGCATGCATTCAATCGGTTTAGCACAATTAAGTGTAACTTATTATTTTTACAAAAGCAACGTAATAAATGCGATAAAATACGCGAAACAAAGAACTGTTATAAACGAGCTGCCAAGATTTCTTATTTGTAGTGTTATACGTTAGTACATCGTGTTTAAAGGGATACTACAACGAAATTTCGGCGCTCAATTTTTGGTCTACAGTTTTTTTTTTTTAGCTGCACCAAATTTTCAAAAAAAGAAGAGCTGCGTTAGGGCACTTTTAGTTATGCTATTAGCATACCCGACCTGGCGCCCACTAGCAACCAAGTATTTTGTGCAACTAGGCGACTAATTAACGGAGATCTCTTATGGCGAATTCCACTCGTCCTTTTGGAGCGAGCCTATTTCACTGGGCGATCGGGACCGAGACCGACGTGTTTCACTGGTCGTTTTGGATTAGTTTCCGCTCCAGATCTCGATCTGGATCCGAGAAAAGTCGCTCCCACGATTTCGGCGGATTCAACCGGAAGTCAGCCGGGCCAGCCCTCGGCGCACACACGTGACTTCCTTTCTCGTGGGGCATCTCACCTGATCTCGCCTATCTCGCCTCAGAAGAAGAAACACGTCGCGGGCTGGGCTCCTAGATTGTCTCGACATCAGAAGAATTCGTAATGGTCGCTTGCTTAGCCCTTGGCTCGACAGCCGGTTCGTTTTCCAGGAAGGAGAAGAGAAGGTTTTTGTCGCGCTACGGGCATTCCGGCAATCTTTGCTAGAAGCGCCTGAGCCATTCCTGCCGCTCGTGCGTCGAACACGTGTTAGCGCCGCGATTGCGAAAACGTCTTCGAAACGACCGCGGAAACGGGATTTCCGGGCAGTTGAATGACGGGAAGGCATCCGCCGATCCCGGAGCAGTGGTCATGATCCGTAGGCGGCGCGACCCCGTTCGGATCGTGTGCTCCAGTCCGGATCTGGTCAACTGATCCCGGCGCGCTCCAAAACGCCCAGTGGAATTCACCATTAATTAACTTTTTAATTATTGTTTTTAGAGGGCCTATTGCATTTACGAAATTGAAGCCCAACATTAATATGCTCCAACCCCACAGCGAAGTAAAGGCACAAACAATTTCTGCACGTGTTTCTGGCTAAATTATTTCCTTCCCGCAGGCTCTTTCAAACCGAAACTGACCAGAGCAAGAGCGTCAATGACGTCGATATCTTCGCCTTCGCTTGGCGTCACAGCAGTGACGTCACCTGTGATGCAGGCACTGCCGTCAGCGCTTTTGCAATACGTTGCTCTCTTCTTAGTGTTTTGCTTACCGCGGCAGGTGTAATTTAGGCGTCTGCGGTCGGCGTCAACTGTGCTGTGTCAAATCCCTCTCTTGACCTGCGGGCGACGCGACGCTTTTGTTGGTACGATAAATGCTGTTGCATGCATTACCAACGGCCGGCAACGTTAGACGAACTTCCTGCGTTTTATTTGGGAAAAATATTTTTTCAATGCTGGAGACTTCTGCTACCTATTATTTGCCACCGATGCTTTATCTCTAAGTTCTTGCTTTTTAATGCATTAAACTAGCCAGGTTTCTTTTCAAGAACAAAGTAATCATGCTTGTGTAATATCACTCGTTGGTCCCTCTGACAGTTAAACTATTGCAGTGTGTAACAAAATAATCTTTCTTTGTTCTATGTTTTATGGGCTTTTAATAAATGAGGAAGGAGCCTTGCAACGGCGTCCTGGCTCACGTTACGGTAGTCATGTGCTGTGTGCGGCACAGAGTGAACACGGCATCGGCGCTTTTTCGAGTGTAGCTCAAACAGGGCACTGTTGAGAACCAAGTTTTACTGCCTCACTTAGGGCCCCAAATAATACTGAAAGAATAAACAGAGGGACGGACAGAACAACGCATCTTTCGTGCCTCTGTCCGTCCAGCTGTTTATTCCATTGTCCGTCCCTCTGCTTATTATTTCAGTATTATTTAGTTTACCAACAGGCTGACGTCTAACTTAGAGCCCCAAATTATCACTTTTCACAGCACCAGTATTTTCTTCGGAAACCTTTTAGTTCGTCGAGAAAAGCAGGCAAATATATGGCTTAGCGTATTTTGGCGCTTAAAAAAAAAAGAGAAGAAAGCTTGGCAGCCAAAGTGATTTGGGCATGTCATAAGCCACCCAGCGTTTGCCGCCGCATGGCCACTTTATGAAGTTGGAAACAGTTGGGTTCAAAGCAAGTGCTCGAATTGGAGTCCATCTACAGAAACGCACATCATCAGTCGGCTCCGCATGGAACACAACACGCGCTCGAGCATTTCAGGCTGAACTGCGGCACAGGCGGCGACGATTCTTTGCTTCAGGTTGTCCACGCTGGTGGGTTCCGTGGCGTAGACTTCATTCTTCACATAATCCCAAAGAAAAAAATCTAACGGGCTCAAATATGGTGATCGTGCCGGCCACCGAACTGGACCACTGCGTCCAATCCACTGCTCTGGAAAAGTTCGGTGTAGAAATCGAACAGCACGCGAAGAAGAATGCGTTGGAGTGCCGTCCAGTTGAAACCAAGTCTCCTTCAGCACGCTGAGAGGCAGGCCCGCAATAAACGCTTCCACGACTCCCTCGAGGATTCTCTCCATGTATAGTTTTCCGTTCAGTGTGCCGTCAAAGAAATATGGGCCAATGATTTTATCATCAAATATTCCACACCATACGTTAATAGACCATCTCACTTGATGTTTGTGCTGACGGAGCCAACGAGGATTTACGCTTGCCCAGTAATGGGCATTGTTGAGGTTCACCGTTGAATTTCTGCAGCATTGAGCCTCATCACTCCAAATAATTTTTTTCAAGAATCCAGGATCCCGGTCCATTTCAATCAGGGCCCAATCGCAAAAGTCCATCCAGTCGTCGTTGGAAGTCACTGCCATGTAGCTCTTGGTGCAGGCTAACGTAAAACGGATGCACGCGATGCTTCACAAGCACTTTCCACACTCTAGAGATCGCTGTCCCAGAAGGCCTCGCAATTTCGCGCACGCTTGCTTCAGGCTTAGCTGTTACGTACGCGAGAACGTCAGTCTCGAATTCGCGGCTAACGACATATTTTTTCTGTCTTCGCCCACTCACCACCGTGCCACTTGACGCAAACTTGTTGAAAAAGCGTATGAAGGAAGTGTGGGCAGGAACGAAGCGACCTGGGTGCTGAGCGGCATAAAGTTGCGCAGCATGACGAGCATTCTTTTGCATAGTTAAATATGCAATCACCATGTCTGTATTTTCTTCAACCGAAAGCCTTGTCGCAATGAGCGACGCCATTCAGATGGGTTTCCTGCCACAGTCAGAGAAAGAAAGGCACAGCACTATGAATCGGATAGCGCCTGTGTTATTTATAGCCTTCGTCCTTCCAAAGATATGGGTGCAAACCTGTGTCTTTTACAACAGAGGAGCAAGTGACGCAGCATTCGTCGCTTTGTAGCACCATTGGCACAAGTCTTCAGAGCAGCTTCTATCATATCAACGAAAGGAAACGGTAGCGTCACGATGCCCGCTGGGACAGCGTGATTGGGGAGTGGTAGATCGTTTTTCTCCCCCGCCACGGTATCCCCGAAGGAAACCCCGCAGCTGCGCTTGCGCGCCCCCAGCCTTGTGTGCATAGTTCAAGGTCTTGTGGCGGATTACGGAGCGCTACCCGGGTGCTTAGCGGGCTGCGGAAACGCTCTACTACTATTCCCTATTTACTCCCGCCGCAGTAAGCAAAACACTAAGGAGAGAGCAACGTAATGCAATAGCGCTGACGGCAGTGCCTGCATCACAGGTGACGTCACTGCTGTGATGCTAAGCGAGGACGAAAATATCGACGCCATTGACGCTCTTGTTCTGGTCAGTTTCGGTTTGAAAGAGCATGCGCGAATGAAATAATTTAGCCAGAAACGCGCGCAGAAAATTTTTTGTGCCTTCATTTCGCTGTGGGGTTGGAGCATATTAAGGTTGGGCTTCAATTTCGTAAATGCAATAGGCCCTCTAAAAACAATAATTAAAAAGGTAATAAAGAGATCTCCGTTAATTAGCCGCCTAGTCGCCAAAAATACTTTGTTCCTAGTGGGCGCCAGGTCGGGTATGCTAGTGGCATAACTAAAAGTGCCCTAACGGAGCTCTTCTTTTTTTAGAAAATTTGGTGCAGCTAAAAAAAACAAAAACACCCTGTATATGTGTTCAAAGGAGCAGTATCATATAGAACATACCAATATCTTGTTAAAAAAGTCACGAAAAGGAATTTTAAAACGAATTAAACGATTAGCAAAGAGCACCTGGTGGATGTCGCTAACACCTCGCTTGTAATGCCCGTCTAGTAGCCTTGACAGCTAGTGATGGTGAGTGTCTCGCCTCCGGCCACGACGAGAGAAGAGGGGAAGGAGGAACTCCCCTCTTCCCGAGAATGCCTTTAGTGTGTCGCAGGAGTCGCTATTGTCCCCCTACAAGATTATAGAAGATTAACCCGACACTCAAAATTCGCACAAAAGCAGCCGCTTCGGTGGCTGGAACGACTAGGCCATCCTCTCGACATCAGCCTCGGCGTAGCTATGCTCGTCCCGAGACGACCTACGTCACGATTGCGTTGGATGTCACGAGGTCTCCACTGGGCCTTCTGTGAGCACTTGCCAGAGTGGGCCGTTTATAACGAAAAAGACAGCCACCAGGCTCAAAATACAAACGTGCGATTGTCACTTACGGGTATTGTGGATCATATTCAACCTATTTTTGAACACGACAGGAATATTTCAAATTTCGTTGAAGTATCCCTTCAAATGAGATAGTAAATTTAGAAAATTGCGTTAGTCATCTTAAGATACACGCCGTCCGGTAATCAATGTTCACATGTGCTGGCGATCGGCGCCATCCTTGCTGCCAACTCTCATTTCCACCGTCGCGTACGGCAGTGGGAATGAGGCCCCGTCACCTGAAAAAGTGTACTCGCTCAAAACGTCCGAGTCGTTCCGCTTGTGTGTTTTCTTGAAATTAAAAGACTGCCCTTAGCCGGGACCAGAGGCACTTTGCATCAGTTGCTCTATAGATATTCACATCGTGGGCTTTCCGGGTGGTCTCTTCTAGTTGGGGTGGTGAGATGGAGGAGAGCGAATATATCTGATCTGGTTAGGAAGTGGCGGAAAAAAGATCGCAACAGCCGTTTGGAATTCTACAAGCAGTGTTTGTTTGTACCTCGATCAGTGCTTCTTCTGCACCGCTACCGTGTTCAGCGGGTTTGACAAAGGAATGTTGCCGCAACATTGCTTTCCAAATTTTCAAGAGAAGCTTCGTGTTTTATGAAAGATTGTGCGCACACAGTAGAAAACGATTCGATTGACGAGTGGATTGAAGTGGCACATCTACGAAGCTGATTGTAAGGTATGACTTATTATTGACTTTACACTTGCGCGATTTTTATTGCTGTCGTCCTATTTTGCCCCACCAAAGAAATCTGAAATTGGAATTGACCGATTGTAAACTCGCACCATGATTAGATATACCCGAGATCTAGACGCATGCTGCTGCATTCGTGTAATCTTATACTGGTTGAGCATATTTTAAAATTCTTTATGGATCATCAGCAGGTATCCGCTAACTTTACTGTCTTAAATTATGATATTGTTCAGGGAGCTATTCATAGTAAAAATTCAAATATGTAGAACCAAACATGTTATACTGATTATTCAGAAAATGTTAATTTCTCAAAAATCAGATTCACTACCATGAACCACACAATGTCTTACGAAAAATCTATGCTAATTTAAAGGACTATTAGGGAACATTCTTTTTTGATGTTTTCTAATATTTTTTTGTAAAGGAACGACAAAGTAACGGCGTTACTTTAGTGAAGTAAGTGTAACTGTAACAAGTTATACTTTCATTTTTGTAACTGTAGCAGGGTTACTTTTCTCGCCCGGGTAACTGCAACCGTAACACTGTTAGACTTTAGCAGTAACGTGCCCATGACTGGTGCTGGCTGTCTTGGAACGCTACAGCGTGCGCAAACAACAGGGGGCCCTTCTTTAGCTATCATCACCATCGTTTGTGATGTCACCGGTAGGAGAGACAGGGACTGACCTCGCAGATCTTGGATCTTTCAGCTAGTCAGCTTGCTTCACGCACTGTTTGGGTAACGCGCGGCAAAGCCTGTTTCACGCGTTGTGTTTATTTGGCGAAGCGATATTTGTAGTAGGACATTCTACCAAAGCTTAAAACTGTGGCAAGCATAGTTGTACTAACAAACACTTTTTGCCCTGAGGTGTCGAAGTGCTCGGCTGGTGGCATGCTGCTCTTTACCCCAGTACAAAAAGTTGGATGACGAAAACAGAATATACAGCACTTTACCCCCCACTACAACATCTACCACAACGAATAGGGTGCATTTTTGTTTTTATTCAGACAAAATAAAAATGAAAAAGCAATGTATCATCAAATGAAAAACAGGAAAGCGAAATTCGATAACCTCTCGCGTGCTTAGTAAAAACTTCAATGAAAGCAACTCCGTGTGTCCTGTTCCGTGCTTTGCGAGTGCTGGTCTCTTATTAGTACCAAGTTGATTCCTTTTTGAAGTTTATAAACCAATAAACAAACATTTCATCAAAATAACTGGCAGGAAGAAGCGGTGGCTGGCTTCTTGAGTCGTTTCAATCAAATCCCTCCGTATTCACCCGGTCGACGCGAAACATGCAAGACCCCCTAGCGATCGAAGTCTTAATTCTAGTAAGTTGGTAATATGTCAGCTTCCCAAAAAATGAGGTATGAGCACACCTGCTACGAATTACTACCGTTTATATATTTAGTTTTGCGGGCCCAAATGTGCATAATGCGTGATGCGCTTCTCAGCCGCGCGATTTTTAATTTGTAGACAATTCTTAGTAAAAATTAGATCGAACGAATTAATCAATCGCCTGAATTTGACGAGTCATGTCCGAATTTAAGAATTTATGAAAATTTCTGCTTTCTTTCGAGCAGAAGTCGTGATGTGACAAACTTCTCTGTCATGTATTCAATGCGTGAGGAGCTAAGCGTTAATTGCCTACGAGCATTTGTTCGTCAGCAACTGTCGAGTCACACCTGGATAGAGAACCGCCGGTATCGAAAAGCTCAATGTAACTAAGACAAGTGTGCGGCGCTTTGCAACACAACTGTGCGTGCGTGCACAGCTAAGAAGACAGCACGTCATCTACTCTGATGAATGAAAAACCTGTTTCCACAGCAGCCTCCACAGATCCGAATAAAACAAGAATCAGAGAGGCTGTGAATAGCCCCGAGGCACGCTGTGCAAGCTGCAATGTAAAGCTCCAGGCTTGTTTTTGAACATTTTAAAGTTTTTTTTTATATAAAAAGCAAATACCCCCTTCCCTCATTGGGTGGGATACCCAATCGAAGGTTGGGAACCACTGGCCTATGGACTGACACAAAGAGAACAAAACAAAAAATCTACAATTCAACAAAAACTGTTTGATGTAAAACATTTTACTAGAAAATGAAGTCAGTGGTAGTAAATGCACCAAGCACTCCAAACACTATGCCGAGTGGAAACATGCAGACATATTCACTCTAGTTTGGCAAAATTCTTATTCACTGCTTTCCTCTTTGACTGCACAAGCTCACAGCACCTTAATACACAGATGGCATATCAAACAACACATTTTAGTATGGTTCATGAATGCATCACAGTATTTTGTGTTGTTTTGGCACAACTGGAAAAATTACTGCAAAGAGTTATATTAATTTTTGTGGAAAGTGCAACAGATAAAAGAAGGCTTGCTGTCACACTTGCAAAGATAGATATGTAGGTAAAATAAATGGCGATTTCATCAATTCAGGCTATCATGCAAAATGTGCATACTTCATGTTTTCTCATAAGAATTAGTTAAGAATTCGCAAGCTAAGAAATACCAGTCTAAATATGACAACACTGACATGGAATGTTGCTTTAAGAGTGTTGCTAATTTAGACAATGTGATTCACCAGTAATACCCTTGTCAGACTGGCAATTTAATGTCAGTTCCATAGAACGACATCTGCATGACTGGCGAATCAGCTCGTGATCTGTCGTGCGTGGAATGCTGTGCAACCCGGAGTGCTGCGCGCAGATTGGCCGATCGCACAAATGTCATTCGATGTTACTGACATTAGATTGCCAGTTCGACAGGGGTATAACGTTGTATGTGCAAAACTTTTTTGCATCTCTGCATGTATGCAGCACATTTGGAAAACAGTCAGTCATCCCTTGTTAGTTGGTTGGTACAGATTGTGGCCTGCCTCTAAATGCATTTTCTGATTGCATTGAATCATACCATTGTCCAGCTAGCTTAATGTTAATTCAAATTTTAAATATATCTAGAACTTACTGGCAGGGAATATTTTGCTTGAGGTGATTTCTAACTGCTAATCCCAGTGCATGCAGTCCTCCAAATGCTGTTCCGAATGTACAATATATCAGTAATATGTGCATGAAACAAACTGCCAACAGAAAGGTGGCAAGCTCAAGGCTCAAAATCACAAGTAATTCATGTTGCTAGTTAATGAAACAAAACTAGTTTCATAGTCATTCAAAGATATAAATGTTCATAGTTAGCACAAACGATTGGTGTAAAGGTCTCTAAAACACATGAATCCTTTCAGAAAATGGTGGTGCCAGTTTAAAGTATGTATGTATAAAAATGGTCTCTAAACATAATACAGAAAAGCTGCACAGAAACACAGTTCTGAGGTGAAAATAAAAGGTTTCACAAGGCTATGATAGGCTACAGAATTTGCAATAGTTTCAGTAACACAATTTTTTTTAAATAGCTCATGTAGAAAAATAAATGTTCTATCCAAAGGATGCAAGCAACAATGAGGCAGTAAAAGATGGGACCATGCCCATATTTTCATCTTGAAATTAATTTATAGCAGCAAATACTGCTGCATCGTAGTATTTACTGATTCACATTGTCAGTTCTTAACATCAAGATGAATATAGCTATTCACAATCAAATATATATTTATATATATATATCTATATCTATACAGGGTGTTTCTTTTAGGCTTTACAGATATGTTTTAAAAAAGCTGTGAAAGCTCCACTAGTGCGGTTTGTGCAGATGAGTCATACGGCCAGGGGAACATAGTATAGGGGCCTAATCGTACCGATAGGTTGAATGATCATCTAAAATTTCTTAAACAACTTTTTAATTAGCGAAAATAAACATATGCTTCCAATTAAAAACTCGTTGAGCATCTTCGAAAACCACTAAATCTAATTTTTATGAAAACTAAGCACTTTGGAAGCATAGTAGTGCTCTAAAGTTACCACTGGTGCAGCAGGCACAAGGATGGCGGTGAAAAAAGTCGCATGATAAGAGACGGAAGAACCGCGCGGGCACGTTACCGCGCCGGTAGCCTTGCTTTAGCTGCACGAGTAATAACTTTAACGCTCCATAGTGCTTCTCACATGCTCCAAGTTTTTCCTCAAATCGACTGATTTAGTGGTTTTGATGAAGCGGAGCAAGTTTCTAATTAAAACCATATGCTTATTTTCACTAATTAAAAAGTTAATTAACATTCTAGTTAACCTGAGGATTTAGTGTAACAATTAGCCCCTCTATAATGTCCCCCTGGTCATATAACTTACATGTACAAATCGCATATGTGTAGCTTTCGTGGACTTTCTTTTTTTTAAAGAAATCTCTAAAGCCTAAAGAAAAAAACACCCTGTATATATGATAACGTAACAACCATAAAAGTATCCAGAAACACTGCACAGAGGGCACAGGCAAGTCAGCGTATGTTTTAAGCGTCTCTCCCATGCATGTTTCTAAAAACTTGAGACCCATAGTGTCAAAAAATTAAAATCGTTTCGTCAAGGTGCAAACCCATAGGCACTGTCAGAGTCCGATTCCACACTTGGAGTCAGGCTGAGCTTGGACTTCATAGAATCCATACTGCTTGAACTGCAAAAGAAACATCCTTTGTTAATGATCTACCTAGCACAAGATAATTTAATTTATTGATTCCTTAAGGGCCCTTTTTCAAGGGCATTACATACAAAGAGGGCTAGCAAAAATAACGAAGCTCAACGAAAACAAACAAAAACATAAGCATAAAAAAAAACAACAAGACACCCCCCCCTCCCCCCCCCCCCTTTTTAGAGAGAGAACCTAAAAAAGCACTAAACAAGAAAAACAAACACCACTGAGCAAACTATAAATAAGACATAATAAAAAAAAAGCAAACAAGAGAACAAAAGAATAACTCACACAGCCGTATATCTAACATCAGAAAGGATGCAAACACAAAATCTAGTTGCACCTGATGAAATATCGAATAACTGAATTTCTAAGAACCTCGGGGTCAGTACACGACACGAGAATGTCAGGAAGATTTTTCCAGTTCACACTAGTGAGTCGTGCTGCTCTTATCAATAAAATTAACTATATGACCATCGCTTTTTGTGGAGATCAAATTCCAGAACCTTATAAGGTTGTTTCAAAGGATGGCTGGCAAGCCCTCAATAAAATCTTTCTTTTGATGATTTGACAGTTTGGGTATTTCCCTAAGACGAAGTCACACTCTTCCCAGGTGCTTGGACAGTTAGTCAATTTTGACTTTCGAAAAAGGCACTTTTTCTTATTGTCTGACAGGCCCGAGAGCCATTGCTTCAAATATGTGCAGTGGGCATAAATTCTTCCACAAGGTCATTAAGTTTGGCCTTACAACATTATACAACATTAAATTTTCTTCCACAGTTCTTGCATGAAAATTGGTTGGATATGACTGGAAGAAAGCTGACAAATGTAGAGTCATAGATTAAAATCTTCTTTATTAGAATCTCCAATTACTTTTCCAACAGATACTTTAACTAAGAAGGGTAGTGACATTGATGGTGTGCAGAAACTTGTGGTCACTGAATTCATTGCTACAGATGATAGACTGAATGAGATCAAAAGAGGATGTAAGGATACTGTCACCACAGGTTGGGCTCTCAAATACCTGAGCTAAGTTAAACAGTAGACATAATTCTAAAAAACCACTGAGCTCCTTGATGAAGTTGCTAAGACAGACGAACATATGTTGGAAATTTAAAATCACCAAATAAAAGAAGGCTTTCTTTTGGAAAATGCTTAATGACATTTTTTTAATTATTCATTTGTAAAAGTAGTCACTACTTAGAGGCCTATACACCAACTCAACTCTCCTACGTCACGCCGTGGTGGTGGCGCGCCGGACGCACTTCCGGTCTGGGGCGGTGGGCAGAAGTTGCCGTGCCAGACATGCATTCCTGTGTTCCTTTGGAAGAAACGAGACAAAACACCTGCCTTCTCGTCAAATGCTGCGATGGGGGCTTTACAAAGAGAGTCTGGGAAGGTTTGAAGATCAGTTTTCATGTGTTTTTGCGCCCTCCGTTCGTCCGAGAACGTCGATAGCAGCCGTGAAAAGGGCAAACCTGACGCTGTCGAACTACGATTGCGTGTGCGGGCCACAATTTGTAGTCGCCAGATGTATTTGCTTTGTTCCAACATGACCGAGAGAAAACCCCCAAGTTGTCCGGACCACCCACGGATTCAGTGCGTCTTCAAATTCACACGACCGCCTGATCGTTCGAACTTTCGTCTGCTCTTTTAAAGTTGTCTGTTTTTTGTCGTCTGCTCGTTCAAACAAAAGCGGCCCGTAGACCAAACTTTGACCCGGTGATTGCAATAAGAAGTAATTGAAGGCCTCAAAAGACTTAAGTAGGCTCGGTGTAAGCAGTAGATACAAGATGTTGATCATTGGTACCGGTGGCCATCACCTACTTGTTACGCTTTGTCTGTTCCCGCTTCCGATTTTCAGTATCGACGTCGATCATCGCCGCTACCTTCTACACTTTTGCAGCACGAGGGTCGTCGCGACCGAAAATAGCTAGAAGAGTCTCATCATGGTTTTGTACGTCCATTCTGCGGCGGTCATGCAAATACATCGCCGCACGTCAAATTATTTGTGCAAAGTTTAGCAGCGTAACGAGCCTTGATGATTTCGCTCAGGCGATTAAAGTGGTAAGACATTGCGATGAGGACGTAGAATCGACAACTCCAACGCGAAAAAGAGTATGCAGACTCACACAGACGCCGACAACGTGACATTCGAATGGTTTGTTGACGCGGGACGTGGTGCGTCTTGCCCGTACTCCATTGCGCGTGCGTTCCAACTGTCGTCTGCTCTTTCAAACTTGGCTGCTTTTTGTCGTCAGTTCGTTCAAACGACAGCGGCTCGTAAACCAAACATTGACCCGGTAATTGCGATAAGAACTAAGTGCAGGCCTCAAAACACTTTTGAAGGTTGGTTGGGGTAAGTCGGCTAAGTGTAAACAGATACAAGAAGTTGTTGATCATTGTTACCGGTGGCCATCACCGACTTGTAATGCCCGATTCTACTTGAGGTTTTCAGTATCGATGTCCACCATCTCAGCTACGGTCCACGCTTTTGCAGTCCGAGCGACGTCGCGACTGAAAATAGCGAGCAGAATCTCGACGTGGGAGTCAGGCTTTAGCGCCCATTCTGCGGCGTCCACGTGAAATGAATCGCCGCAAGTCACATTATTCACGCAAAGTTTTGCCTCGATAGTTTTGCTGAAGCCGCTCAAGTAGTCAGACATTGTTAGGAGGACGTAGAATCAACAATTACAACGCGAAAAAGAGCACGGGGACTCCCACCGACGCCGACAACAACGCAATTCAATGGTTTGTTTATGGGCGACGGCGGGCTTCTTGCCCACCATCCACGGCGCATGCGCGGCGCCGGTGACGTCCGCTAGGGGCGCTCCGGTTTGTTTGTAAACATGAGTTGGTGTATAGCAAGCACCAAAAAGTAGTTTTACTATGAGCAGAACAAAGACATGGGCAAACGAATTTCAAATCGCAATGTAACTCAACTAAAAAGAAAGAAATGTGACTTTTGACAACAATCAGAACACTATACCACACTGACATGTACCACAGGTATAATATACCTACTAAGATTCAGATAGGAGGGAAAAAGCTTGTCATTGCAAATACTGGGTTTCAGTCACGTTTCAGTGAGTACAATATTTGATGTACTACCTTTCGCAATACTACTTACCACCACACTCTTTAACGTGAGCCTGTAAATGTTAGTGAATGAGACAAGATATAGTTATTCTGTGCACTCTCGCTTGGAAAACATTGTTCGGACGATTTATAGGCGGGCATAGCTATGCAGGGCACTCACATCAGTGTCTGAAGACATATCGTATATGAACCATTTGCATGCAAAGCTCATTGAAACAAACTTTGAATGGGTTGTTATGTGGTGCTGCGAAATATTATAGTTTTTTTTCTGAACTAATCAGATGGACAGGGAATAAAGTAAAAAATATTGAGTAAAGCATTAATGTAGCTAGGACTTTTTTTTTTTTTTTGGTGGGGGGGGGGGGGGGGGGGGGAGATGAAGCTTTACAAGTTTTCCCCTAGGAGCACCATTGGAGTGAGAATAAAATAGAAAGCTGACCTTGGAAAATCTAGTACTTTCTTGGATTTCTTCTTCTTAGCCAGACCTTTTGGTGGGGGCATGGTTGAGCTGGCCTGTATAAGATGAAAATGAAATGAAATGAAAATAAAACCACTTCAAAGTAATGTCTGCACATTTCATAGAGGGAAGAGAGTTGCTGGCATTTGAATTTGCCAATCGCAACACCCAGAGTTCACAATTAACTGTTCTCAGACACCATTTCAACTCTGAAAGAAACAGTAAATTCTTGGCCGAAAGCGAAGGCAGAGCATCTGGCATTCAATATGCAACACAACATTATTTGTCCTGAATTAACAGCTTCAGCACTTCATGTCAAATGCTGAAATGGATGGACCTAGGGGACCTCTGATAAGGCATTACAGATTAAAGAAGTTGTGCAAAACACAGCTCTTTGAAATTTAACATAATCATCATTCTAATTTGGAATGTAAAAAAAACACACTGATGCTATCTTTCTAAACTTTTCAAAAGCCATTAAAAAGTTCTTCATAACTGTCGCCCACCTTCCTCGACCTTTCAAAAGTCATTGAAGAAGTGCTTCATAACTGGCTCATAATAAAACTTTACCATTCCAACATTGGTTCCTCTATCTTTGCTTGGATTCCTGTCTTTCTTTCTGATTGCTCTCAATAAGCATTGCAAATAACTCAGTGTCGTCTAATCTAACTTAACATCACGAGTTCCTCATGAAAGCATGCTCGGACCTCTCATTTTCTGAACGTGCATCAACATTCCCCATTTTCTTCTTCCACTATTTGCCTTATTGCCGAGGATTATGTAATTTACTGCTCAATCTCGAACATCGACAATCCCTCATCCTTGCAAACCAACTTGTGATTTGTTGTACATTGGTGTAACAAATGGCTGATGTTCTTGAATGCAAAGAACTTAGATTTCCTCATCTTTTGCCGTCTTATGCCTACAGTATCAACGACACTGCACACAGCATATCCTTGTCTTATAGAAATATCTATATATAATCTGCAAATTAACTCCTTTTTATCCTCAAAAATATGCTCCCACTCCATAGATCACTAAATTGTTCAACATGCCGTAATGCTGTCCAGTACTGCTCCTTGTTTTTCTTATGATTTCACTATTTGTTACTTCAATGTTTCTCAAAGTATTCTGCAGTGTGTCAAAAGAAAACAATTAGTTTTTTGCAAGCTTATATATAATAGCAAACTCAATGAATCAACATTACAGTACACGGGCAAAGGCATCGGAACTATTTGGCAGGTGGGGGGAGGGGGGATGATGGGGGTGGCGGTAGAAGGGTGAGAGCGATTTTCCACCCCCTCTCGCATATTGATTACCGTAGAATACCATGCAACCGCCCCCCCATTCCACATTAAGCACCCATTACCAAATTTGTAAGATCTGAGAAAATATGCACAGTACATTTATATGTAAAAATTGATGACTGGACAAGCGCCCATCCCCCATTTTTTTGCAATTATCTCCAAAGTTTGAGTGGGCGCGCTTGCCCGGTATTTTACGGTACAATAAATTTTTTAAATATCTTTGAGGAAAGAAAAGTGACCCCCCCCCCCCCCCCCCCTTGTTTTGATGCCACTGTATGCGGATGCCATAGAAAGCAGTGTATAAACAAGCAAAGAGTTTAATGTTACTGTGCATGTGCAATAGATTTGCTGTTCCAAAATTTGGTGACTGCATTGGCCAAGTGCCAAGACTCAAAAAAGTCAAATTTGGGGGTTTTACGTGCCAAACCAACGAAGGGCATCTGGTATGCCCCAGCGGAGGACTGAGGATTAAGTTCGACCACCTGGGAATCTTTTGACGTGCAACCGAAAGCTCGGTTATGTGGCGGCACCTTCTCTGCAATATGCCCCCATCAGATTGCGGGCACCTCCGCCGGGATTCAAACCCGCCACCTGGGGATCCGTAGGCCGGCGCTCTGCCTCGGAACCCTCGGGGCGGCCAGTGCCAACACTCAAATCGTTTTGTAAACAATATGCCCTCCTGAATTCAGAACTCGACAAGCACAGACGGTTTTAGTGTCTGCGAAGACCATTTGGGGTGTTATTCCAGGTCTGCTTCATTTTCTGAAACACCAACTGATAGATGTGCATATAGCACAAAGCATTTACTGTTTTCTCGTTAGAAAGAGGACCTGGAGGAAAACTTGAAAAGTTTACAAGATATATTTTAGAGTGTAGTGGAATATAGTTGATACAGTGGCAAAGTTTTGACGAATTATTGATGCCTGAAGAGGCATCACAAACTCCACCTCTGAATATTGTAAATGGTGTCCTTCGGCAACCGTGAGAATCGCCACGGCTACATCAAACAAAAGAAAAACAAAACATTCAATGGTGTCGGTCTAACTTGAGAGTTTGTACATATCACATAGGAAGAATGTGCACTTCTATGTTCATAGAAAATTTGCTAAAAAAATAAAGGCATAATTATATATTTACAAATATCTAAAAAAATTCATAAAATAAACTAGACAAAGTGTGTATATGTATATGTGTATATATATATATATATATATATATATATATATATATATATATATATACAGGGATGGGCAGTATTTCAATTAGAAGTATTTGAAATACATATTTTAAATACTTTGTGTATTTTGCATTTGTATTTAATTACAAATTGGGTAATGTATTTGACGTATTTAAATACTAAAACGTGGGTATTTCAAATACAATTGTAATTAAATACAATTTTGTGGGCGAAAATACATCCCTCAAATTTATTGTCACTGTCCAGAGCAGGAAGAAAACTATGTTTTGCACCAAACGCAGTGTCTCTCAATCAAGCACAAAAGTTTAGTGACTTTGTGATTTTGGCGCTAGTCCAGGGCAAGAATAGTGACGAAATCGACGTTCACAGGCAGACTGGCTAAATAAGTGCCTGTGACAACTTGTGATGCTTTCCAGCCTAATTTCCATCCATATTTTTGCCTGATTTTTGTAACTGGTGCGAGTTGCAACAATAAAAAAATCTCTAGCTAGTGCTGCGCGTCTTGGTCGTATTGGTTCTTTGTTGGTCTATACCAAAATGTGATCGACAAAAAAGCTGCTTGAAGCTCTGTACTTTTTTCACCTCTACGTCCAAGCTGATTACATTTTTTTATGATTATATTTCTATTATGTTACTAGAGCCTTGCACACCAACTCCCGAGTAGGCGATGCAAAATTAAAATGAGATACCCAGAAACCCCTTGCAGGTGCCCTGAAGTCGCTGACGCAAATTTTGAGGAATGTATTTGGAAAAGTATTTGGAGGAGACCAAATACATTTGGTTGTATTTGTATCTTGTACTTAAATGCTTTTTTGGAAATGTAATTAGATTTGTAATTATATACATTTTTGACGAAGTATTTTGTATTTGTATTTCGATACATATTTGCATGTATTTTGCCCATCCCTGTATATATGTGTATGTATGTATATATATATATATATATATATATATTAGAAGCCTAAGTATACTAAGGGCAAGGAATAGATAAAAGGCAAGGGACACAGAGGTAGGAAAACCCTTACCACGTCAGTAACACTGTCAGCAGAGCCCCAAGGCTTGAGTTTCTGCACTCCAAAGGGATATGTGAGGACAGCTGCCGTGCGCTTGACTCGACTGTTGAACGACCCCATGCGCATGAACCCGGCGTCCTTCTCTGAAGACCTGGAGGCTAAGAAAGCAAGAAAAAAAAATAGAAGAGCCACACCGATGAAGCCTGCTGCCAACTGCTAAAACTTTCACCTTAACGCCTTAGATCGCAAAAATGAAATCACACTTCTCACAACTATGACGATCTTGAAACAGGTGTCATTTAAAGGGTAGCAAAAGACAACCCCTAGCAATGCGAAGATATCAGTTGCTGTCGGTGGACTCTAATTTAAGTATAGTACTTGAGTTTTAGACACTACATTTTTGTTGGCTATATCTTCAAGTTGCAAATATACTATGATACCGTTTATGACATACAAAAAAAAAAAGAAAAAGGAAAAAAGTGCACATGGTGCCAACGAATGGAGAGGTGGTTCCTGAAGTAATTCCTTTTCAGAAATCTACATACTAAGAACACAAATCCCACCCACCCTGCCATATAATTATGTATAGTAAGCATTATAACAGACAGACAACAAGCAGAAATGCAACAAAAAGCTATGAAGGCAAAGCAAGAAACCTTCTCCAATTGCCCAACTACCATCATCTTTCATCAATACATGCTCAGTCATTGTTTCTTTAGTCAGTGGTGTCAGAAAAAGGGGGGGGGGGGGGGGGGCTGTCCCATGTCTCGAATAGTTCAGACCCCTCTGCCCTCAGTGTTATAATAATCAAACCGTCAGGAACCAATATTTCTGTTATATAGTATATAATAGTATGTATGACTAACGTTTATTAGCAACTTGCACATTTCTTTTTTGCATATGTCTTTAAAACAGGAGTGTTCACATTAGATAAAAAAAAAAAAACACACTGTATACAAACTGAACAAGTCACCTGCCAAAACCATCTCACTCTTACAACTTACAAATCTAGTACCTATGCCCTGAATAGAGGTTCAGAGCACACCATAAATTATAATAATTCAAGTTCACTGTATCAGTAACTAACACAAGAGTAAAACCCCAAGAGACCATGGAATCCCAAGGTTATAAAAATAAAATAAAAACAGGTTTAGTAAATGTCAACAGGTGCAGTGCAGGGGAAAATCCAGGAACACAGATGCTTCCACCCAACACAAGCATGCAAACAATCCCTGTGCAGACACAAACTAGGAAAAGTTTTGTGCGAGAACACATCACACAAAGCCAACATCAGGAATGACGCAATCCAAGGCTAAGATTGTTAAAAAAACAGAAAAAGCACCCGGGGCAGGAAGACAGGTACCAGACCACTCAAACCTTGAAACTCTTACCTCGACATTGCTGCGTCCTCAGTTTGGTTGGTGCAGCTTCCAATCAAAATATTAAACAACACACTGCTTGGAATCACACCGAAAAAAACTTGGCTAGCATGCTGCCATTGGTTCAGCAAGTTCTGCACAGCCAAGGTGAGCCACAAGGTCTTTTCACTAAAAATTGCACTTTATTTTGCAACAGATGCTGTTTTACACAATCACAACCTCTTCAAGCCATCTTTACTAGAAATTAAAAAAAAAAAAAGACACAGCTCTATAAAAGCATAAAGGAGAGCAAACCATTTGTGAACTTGCAATATAAGACTGCCAGTGTGAACTTTCATGTGTTCCCTAGCTACTTTGACAGGGGTGGTCTGCAGCACACTTAAAACAAGCTTTGATGCAGCAAATGTCTTAAGAGCATATTTCCGAATGTCACAACTGGTACAAAGAACCCCCCACTGAACAGAACCTGCTAAAGCATGTAAAGTTTGCAATAAACGGGCTGCACTACATACAAATCAGTACATAAATGAGTCACGTCTCGCTTATTCAGCACTTTGCAAAGCAAATTTCTGCTTAACTAAACAGCTTTGGCTTGGGGTGAACATGCTCGGTGCTCTTCTAGGCCGACTCGGTTAACCAAACAGCTAATCTGATTTCATCAGAGGACATTAGAGTCTGGATAAATGGGACCTGGCTACATAGAAGACTTCCGCTCAAGACAACAAAGATTTTCCAACACCATCTGGGAAACAGCATGCTAACACTACCTGTGGTCGAGATGTTTGCAAACATCCATCTCTTTTCCCCCAAGGAGACTTCCATTCACTCGACTTAGCTATTCTGACTGCACTTGTTTCTGCCACAAGAGAGTAGCAAATGTGGAAAGACTCCCATAAAAAATGCCCGTCAACACACTAGAGATGACCAGTGGGCTTGTTTAGCGATTCTAAATTCTCCCCAACTGACAGCAAGCTCACCAGTTCTGAAGGAGAAAGTAAGGCAAACTGGTGTGAGATATTTTGCTCAAGGGTGAAGAGTAATGTTGCCAAGGAATGCTTTTATCTTGTTTGTTCAGCTAGAAATTTCCTTGTTCTGAAGCACCCTTTTTGGGATTTTCTTCGTAAAAGCTGAAAGGTGGGCTACAGTGTCCCAAACATTTTTTATACAATAAGATTGACCCGAAAATCGCCACTGTGTCTAATAGCTAAGTGAAGCTTTTCTGGAAAGTATATAACAGAGGTCGCTTTGAATTAACCCGGTACACTTTCCAAGTACAACTCTGTTGCTTTAAAAAAAAACTAGAATTAATGCCTTTCATTCTCATACAGCCAGTTATCATGTAAAGATGCAGAGAGCTTGTTTGAGATATCTGTTCGTTTCACAATTTTAGCAGGTGGATATGACCACAAAGACAGACCTTAAAAAAAAGAAAGCAGTTCCCTAAGGGCCGTGGTTTTCAAAGCCCGTGAAACCCCAGGGGTCCACACGATTCGGGGATTGTTTTACCGGGGACAGGTAAGGCATTGAAGAGGGTTGAAACCGTCGGACCAAACATCCTTGCATCTATGGTTAGTAGAACTCCCACTGGTTGCAGTGCGCTCTTGCTGGTTTCAAGTTGTGAGTGCATTTTTACTACGGCTTTCGTGGAGAATGCATTTGGATGTTTGGATGTGTGTTGCCATTCTGGCTTTCCTCTGCAAAAACTGCAATGTCTGGGCATGTCTGCAGGATGCCAAAGTCAGTAAGCATTATTTATATAAAGCCAGACTGACGACTTCAACTTTCTCCGATTTATGGCGACATACTTTCCTTGGTGTATGCAATATACTGTTGTCATATAAACATATTCACAGGGAGTCCGTGAATGACCCCTAAGATAGTTGGAGGGTCTGCAGCGACAAAGTTTGAGAAGTGCTGCCCTAGGGTGAGATGCTAATGTTTAGGAATTATTTGTCAGTATAAGTAAGATATGTTTTTAGAAATTCTATATATATGCTGAGACACTACGGCACCCATTCCATCTGTCTGCAAATCTGAAAGATCTACATAATTAACATATTCTGCCATAATGTGCCATCTTAACTGAAGCAGACAACAATAGAAGTCAACATGATACAACATAAACATATGCTAAATCCAATCTGCTTTCACACACCATTCCAATCAAATGCTCACAGTATAATAAGATTTCTCCCAATGCTTAGAATTCATGTCAAGTTATTTAGCTATGAAATCACACACACAGGCAGAACATCACTCTATAGCATCATTGCCATTATAATCATGAAGAATTTGATTCATTCAATGACAACATGCCAAATTTTTAACATTTCTTTTTCTGCAACATGTCAGACACTATGAGTTCTAAAAATTTGCTTAACTAATAGCAGCACACAAATGATAAAGAGCGTTCTCAGACCAAGGAGTAGCACAAAAAACATACAAATGGTCAGCAACACAGAATGCAACCTCAGAAACAATTAAAATCATAAAAACTAAACCCCGGCTTAGAAAATGCTAAAAGCACTGTGTGGCCCACATCAAGAGCATGGCTTAAAACACAAAGCAAGTGTCCACCCACATTGAAAAAATTTGTGGACCAAATGAAGATAACTTCTTCAACGCATCAGTTGCTAAACGCTGAAGTACAGCTGAACAGCTAAAAATATGACAGAACTTTGTGATATGGGAATGTAAATACTTTATGACATGGGAATGTATAGTAAAATAGTAATTAGAAGACAATATACTCCATATTGCCTGAAAATGGACAGCACCCAATGCAACAAGCCATCCTGCCCCAATCCAGTGCTGTGAGTATGTCATGTGGCTTCAAGCTCTGCACCTCACTGCACTCAAGCCAAAGGTCACATGACACACTTTCAGCACTGGATTGACTATGATGGCTCATAGCATCTGCTGTGCTTCACCTTACGGTGACATAGAGTATAGAATATGGAGTGCCCTGATAATATCTAAACAATCTTCTGGCCATATGATATGTGAATATTTTACCAATAATTCTCCTATGTAATGCCACTTTTTTTATATAAAATCTGTTAGGTGAAGTGTTTAACAACTCATATAGTGCTTCTAGGTATGTTACATATACACTCTGAATAACAAAAAAATACAAAAAAAAATCAGGCTCGCATAAATAAAAAGAGCCCTTCTATCAGTAGTAACAGTTAGCATACAAATACTATAAAATGAAGATGCAAATGGTGGTATCGGCTTTGAATATGTCTTGAATGCAAGCAACCACACACAGTCTTCCTTTAAACAATGCTAAACCTGGGAGCAATCTGTACAACCCAAAATAAAATTACTGCACCTAAAATGTTTTTCACATCTGATGCTGAGAGGAAAAACTTCAGGTGCAGTAGAACGGTCAACTGTGCACCGACGCTTCCGTCAATTTTGTGCGTACAGAGCACAACAAAGTGCAAACATGCAATTGGTAATCATTCCCATTTCACTCTCGTAACTAAAAGGCTGCCAGCAAAGTCGCTAGTGCAGTGGAATGTGTTTATATGGGGAACCAAACTAGTAAAATGTGGCGTTTGATACCATCCTGTATGACTACAATGTGGAAAAGCACAAATGTTGTGTTTGCACTAACTGGGATAGAGAGTGTACATTATTACTTCGTCCAATCCGTGCAGCCCCTCACGATTCTGTTCTTACGTAGAACTATGTCACGTCATCATACTTGTAACATTCTTTGGTTTGGTTTTGACAGAACATAATACATTTGCATGGACAGACAAGCCCAACTT